CGTGACCCGTAAATGTAAGGCCATTGTCCACTGCTTCAGCACTAACTGAAATGTTCTGTCTTCTCCTCTGTGTGTCTCATTCAGTCTGTGTAATTATAGCTTCACCCTCCACAGTAATTAGGGACTATTTCAACAAGGATGTGGAATGTCTCCATCTATTTTTCCTTCTCTTCATCTCCTTCTGTCTTCCACCCCCACAATAAAGCATTTTAAGGCTCCCTATAAAGCAAAGAAAATTCTTATGTGTGCTGTTTTTCGTGGCGGATAAGTAATATTTTGGACGATCGCCATGTTAACAAGGTGACTTCAAAAATCAACCTTTCCTGTCAGTTTGGCTGTGAAGCTTCTCTGCAGTCAATACAGTGCAGCTTTGGATTCAGCACTGAACATCTCCAGTCTCTGTCCTTGAAAAAAAAAAAAAAAAAAACAGTGATGAGTAAAAGAAAAGAGAGAATGTCTCTAAACCATCCGCCCCCGGACGTGCAGAGAAGGTGGGTGTGTGGAGCAATAGTCCTCTCTCTGCATCGCAGTCAAAGGCACAGGGAACAAATGTGCTGTTCCACAGGCAATGAATGTTATGATATCTCCTGCAGTGCATAATGCAATCTTTTCAAGGCCCCGGGCACCAGCAGGCATAAACTTGTTGAAACACTATATTCTGGAGGCAGATGTTCAGGAGCTGAAGTCATTTAAAACTCCATTAAATCACATATTATAAGGCAAGTGGCGCCTGATGTGATATGCTGCCAGAAAAAAAAAAAAGGTAAATAAAGTGATGGATGGCATCATCCTTCAAGTGACTCCAGTCCAGACGACTTCTTGATGCGAGACCACACAGCTCTATATATACAGCAGACAGGGCTGGTTTACTCTGGACCCCTTATGGCCTTTTTACGAAGCACTTCTTCACCAATTACCACAGGTTCAACATCTTACTTTTATCTCTGTCTGAAACAAAAATCCATCGCTCTTCCTCCCTCTCACTCGCCTTCTCCAGCCCTTCACCAACTGCAAGTCTTTTAGCACAATGATATGACAGAAACACATAAGAATAATGGCACGTTGTTGCTAAGAGACCACCTGTTCAGATCTCCCACATGAGATTGTGGTGAAACTGTAGTCCTCTTATCATTTTCAGAATATCATTCATTCGAGTGTAGTGAATGTCACGACAATATTGCAACTGAGAGAGAAACCTATTACATAACAGGGCGTCTTTTAGGCAGAAAAACTGATTTTAGATCTGTGATTTTTTTATCATACAGCGTACTGCAGCAGCATCAGACCCACAACACAGTGAGGATCCTTTAACAAGAGAGTATTGAGTATCACGCTTGAGCTGGGTAACATCAAACAACTATTTTGCCTTCTTCATAACAGCCATTTGAGAAAATGGCATCCGCTGTTTTCCAGGCTGTGTTGACAATAAGGGAGTGGCGCTGCATGGGAAAATGAGTGTTGTCCTGAGGGCTGATAGAGACCAGACACGCCCTTCTAGCCCTTACCTGCTAGGGTGTGTTCAGAACCTGCACTGCATGTATCGAGCACAAAACACACAAGGCTGTCTGTGACAAAGACTTTGAATAAATACAAGTAAAAGTTATATTGTGCTACAGGGTGTGTTCAACTGTTTCCGAAACCTTTGGGATTAAAGTTTACTGTGTAAACCGTGGTAGCGACTAAAAAGTTTCATTATTGACTGATTTAAAAGTGCTGAATGAAACTCTGGAGAAAGATAGCTGATTGGTGCTTTGGTGCAACCACCAACCCAAAAATTTGGTGTTTGAAGACTTGGGAATGAGACTCTACAATCGACTATCTTTGTCCAGAGTCGCATACAGCGCCTTTAACACACAGCCCCATTCTTCCTCAGCCTCTAGTCTCATTAATCTGTTTGTTCTCTTCAGTGTGTCCTCCCCCCAGAAGCCAGGTCGGCGCTCAGACTCTATCCATCGGCATGTTAAGAGGCTTGACCCGGGACACCACCTCTCTCAGACACCCAGCGACGAGGCCAGCTGGTGGAAATGACTGTGGTGCACGCACACACGCACACACACACAAAAACGCAAGCACTGAGTGTCAGTCTTAAGTATCTGTCTCACCCCGTCAGCGCAGGAATGACTCGATGCCAATCGTCACGTCTGGAACTGCATGTCTATGTGAGGGAGGAGAACTGAAATGAGTCAGAGAGGATCACGCTGGGATTGCTGGGTTTTACCGGGTTGACTCCCCTGTTGATTAAGATAAAGTCATCTCGAGAAACTAAGGAGTGCCTGTGGCCTTTACCAAAAGGGAACAAGGCTTGCAGCAAGATGCTGAATCTCCAGTCTCGCCCTCACTGTGCTTACAGTCCCAGCCCTGTTAAACACACACGCTCAACTGGGCTAACATGAGTCACAGCCGTGCAGTTACCCCCCTCTCCTCCCCTGCGATTACTCAGTATCTGCCCAGCTGCTGGCTGCAGAGACTTTGCAGCCACCGTATGTTTTTACATCTCCTCTTCCTCAGGAGAGGTCTGCTTGCATACAAAGCAGACAAACACAATTACTGTCTACGGAGGCATTCAAATGTGTATCCAGGAGAGAAATGGGCAGGGTTATAGCGGGCAGCCAGTGTTGCGGAAGTCCCATTTGCTTTCCCCCCAAACTTATTGTTAGGTGACTTGCTGTTGGAGCTTCTCCAACAATTGAAGGTGCATGACAGTCTTCATAATCATCAATTAGCATCTGCATTTTAAAACGGTAAAACGGAAAAAAGAGACAAAGGTAAAACGCTGTGAACATTTTTTTATTTTTTATTTTAACCTTTAACATCAATATTGAGTCTCACTCTGCACTATGTTAAAAAATATCCAAACAGTGCGCGCTGCTGTCTGTGCCACTAATGATGGGGTGAACTCAGTTTTCAGTGTACTTTTAGATTTTGGATAAATTTTGCATCTTTACTTACATAAGGGTTTTTTTTCCTAATTTTAATACTTATGCAACAAGCCTTGCAGCTCCTACATTTCCCTCAATGTGGCTGACAAGCATGGGAAATTAAAGTTGAGACTGCACTTCAACCTATGAGGATGTGTCATTTTACATCCAAACTAACAGCCACAGATTTCAGTGACAAAACATGCCCACCTATCCCTATAAAAAATAGCATCACTTCAAGGTAAACTCACACAGTATACTGTGAAAGACTGATGCTTTCATCACTGAGATATGGTGGGAGCCGGATTGAACCCATCTCTTTAAATATTAAAGCACGCTTTAAAAAAAAAAAAAAAATGTTTTTATACACTGCAGGGTTGGTGAGGAAAGCAAAAGAGTGCCAAACAAGCAGTGACTATATGACACTCTCCATGACCTACTAGCTTTTGCCACGAGGTCAGCTCCCCAGAGTAGAAGAGGGACTCTGCCTCTCCACTCCGCCCGCCTATCAGCGCTCCCGGCTGTCAGGACTCTGACGGGGTGCTTTCCTCCCCAGAGACAGAGCCCCACTGCTCGGCTCTGCGCTCCAACGAGCAAGACCATCTATGAAGAGACCTGTCCCCCCCCTCCCCGAAGTGTTCATGATCCAGACGCCTACAGTGTGTCTATGTTGATTAACCCACATCAGTAGGTGTAAACACTTGGACAAACCCCGACAGAGCATGGCGTACAATTCACAATGGACGATACACTGTAGGCTGCGTGACCAATTTGGGACAGAAATAGCCACCTGAAACATTTGCCTCCCTTGTTGGCTCTAAAAGAAGCTCCAGTCGGTCTCTGCTCATCTGACCTCCTTTCTGATAGATGTCTATTCCCTGCAGGAGGACGAGCAGCAACCCTCTGCCCATTCTTGGCCTTCTGTTGGGGGGACTACAGCTGGCTTAGGGTGCAGGGGCATTAAAAGTAGTAATTACTAGGAATATATTGAAAGAGACTTCCTCTAGTGTGGGTGAGCTCTAATCAAAGCAGAAATTTGGAATGGTCACACAGGTGTGGAGCTCTCATAGCGTGAAGTGCTGCGAACATTCCTTCAGTAAGGTGCCTGCAACCCGGAAACAAAGTCACAGAAGCAAAGCAAAGTTCTCATGAATGGTATTGCAAATGCTGCTGGAATGATTTGTCGATTAATGGATCGGTTGCTCCACAGTTACGCAGCAACCATTTTCATTATTAATTAAATGCTCCAGTCATGTATCAGCCAACAATGGAAAGCGTTAAAAGATGACAAATCCCCATATTAACTCCCCATTAGCTGCTTCTCTTGGTTTGAATGCATTCTTATTTTGGACGGCTGGTTGGACTAAATAAACCAATTTGAAGACATCATTTTGGCACCGAGAAATTGTGATGGACATTTTTCCTTCCATTTCATAGATAAAATGATCGAATAATAAAAATCCTTAAATGCACCAGCAGCAATCCACTCTACTCTTCTTTCACTGAGAGTCTTTCCCCCAGTATTGAAGCTTATTGCAGGCAAAGTTCACACAGGTTTTGAAGGCAGAACAGGTTTGAATGTGGAAATCCCTATGGGGCAAATGTTTACTTGTTGCAACAGATAAGCCCAACCTTCCCTGCCTGTCACACACACACTTCTGGAATGCAATATGTCCCCATTTTTGCAAGAGAAATGCACTAATATTTCAGGAATAGCCTTGACTACTATCAGAGCAGTAGGTGGACTGTGTGAATAAAAGACAGGCCTACATGTAGAAGAGACAGTGAGTGAGTGACTTTGATTTTCTAAGCAGGGGTGGGGTGGCAGTTTCAGCTGAGGTGTTGCCTCGTGGAGAATTATGTAAAGGTGAGGACAGAGCATTTGAGTCAACTAATATAAAAAAAAAAAGCAAGTGAGCTGCTGCGCCTCTCCCTGAAGAGATTATCTCTGACAAAAAACACAAGGCTTTGAACGCGTCTTGGCTGATAAATAATAAGTCTGATTCATGGTGGTATTACATTGACAGCTGGGATCATATCATGAAACGCGCTCCAAAACTTTATTCATTAGTTCAACCTTACCTTATAGACATTTTCCGTCAAGCGGTGAACCTCGTCGGTGCGAGACATCGTGAAATCTTCAGCCAGGACCATAAACGGTTTTTTCCTTCAAACGAGTATCCGCGGAAAATGAGAGGAAACAGGGTTAAATACACGAGTTGGATCAAACAAAAGGCGAGGCAACGCGCCCGTGAGAGTGAGACGATGCAGCGCTCCCGAAACCCCACTCCAACTAAACACACCTTCCCTCTCCACAGCTGACAGCCCGCTGATGCCTTCACGGACTCCGCGGCGGCTCAGTTTCTCTCAGACGCGTTACAGAGGCGTTCAAAGCTACAGTCAGAAATACACAGAAACAACAAAAAGGACACTGTAACATTTATACAAGGTTGCAAAATATAAAATACCATATACTTATAACTAGAAACACACAGTGCACCAGTGCAAGGCAATATAATGGACCACCAAATATTAAAAAAAAAAAAAACGGAAATACTATCTATCTATCTATCTATCTATCTATCTACTTATTTATATATGTATGTTCAGTTCATGCATTCACTGCCTCAATTTATGGTCTAAATGTTAGGGGAATGCACAATAATATCAGCACTTTAACAACTTAACAATTATGCAATCTTCGTTTTTATCTTTTTCTTCTGTAGTATGATTATTGTTATTAATAAGGGAGGTGTCTTCATAAGCCATTTTGGGCTTCTAACCTCTCCTGCACAATGTTTTGACCTTTAATTTCCTTTTCCTGCATTTTCTATACATGTATGTGTAAATAAACTAAACTAAAATTCAACAGTAGTGGTTGATATTGGGTTTAAAATGAAATATCAGAATCGTCCAACATGCTGATAATACCGGTACGTCATCGGTATCGGTTAAAATCGGCCTTAAAATGAGCTATCTGAATCAGCCAACATGCTTTTTTTCGTAATTTGCACAATAAATGAATATTACATACATTAAACAGTATTGTATTTCATGTCTCCATCTGCTGGTGGGCAATCACGAGGAGTATGCATACATAATGTGATGTTAATTCCACTACAAAAGAGACTTGATGATCACTGAAATTAGGTACGGAAAAAAGAATATATCGTTATCGGTGTCGATTATTGGTCAAATGTGTTGTTACATATCTGCATATCAGATATGGGGGGAAAATTCAGTATCATGCATCCATAGTACATGTCTTTAATTTTGCCAAAATAAAAGTTCTCTGCTACTTTCATGTTTTTATTCGGGGGAAATGCATATGCCTTAAATATTGGGGGACTACAATGAAGACTACACTTATGTCTAATTCTGCAATTTCCTTGTAATGTACTTGGAGTGTTATTTGCAGTATAGTGAAGTCCAGTTATGAAAGTGTTAAGTAATGATGGTGAAGACATTTATGTGTAAGGTTGGAGTGATTAATAAAATCGACAAAACTAAGTTTTTAATAATCCTTCAGGATATTGCAGTGATGAAATCTCACTGAATCTAATAATAAAGGCTCTCATTTAACAAAGCCCATATTATAATGATGTTTCAGTAGGTTATATTCCCCGCTGACATGGCTACTGTTCGCTCAAACCCTAAAACCGAAACTTCCCACAGCATTAGAACGCAGCACTATCTTAACCAGAGCGCACATTTGGTGCACGCCCCCTAAATTTTGGGACCAATTGAGCTCCACCATTCATATGGACCTACTATACAGAGGCAAATTTGTTTCTCCACAAATACTATGCAACATGTAAATACTGTTCTTGCCCTTAAAAAACCCATACATATTTGCCTATTTAAACTGGCACTTCTGGTGTGTGTTGTGAACTCTAAAGACACTAAAATTAGCATCAATCTAAAACAATTAGCCCACAGGCAAAGGCTGCTCAAGGTGATGAAGCACAGGAGGACAGGCATGTTGCCTTGAGAGCAAAGGAGCAGATCAAACCTGTTTGTGTCTCCCTCATGCATCATTTGGGCAAAGGCTGACTGCTCTGAATGAAAGGCAGTTGAGCCGAAGAGACTTTAAAAGACAGATTTTCAGTATGTATCCTGCCACCAGTGTCCATACCAGCATGGTGCATATTGTTGTTTTTCTGCTTGTGCTCATTAAAGCCTTTGCACACACTGCTGCTGTCATCTGAGCTGCCTACTAAATGCTGCACAGAGAAGTTGCTCCCATGAAGTTCCTCTTCTTCGCCTTTACAAAAGAACATTTTATGTATACAGTTGCATTGCACAAGTCTGTAAGCAAGTCATACTCTGTTTTCACTAACACCACGGGTGATGTTTTTCTCACAGTGGATAATTTGTGTTAGTTTCGTTGCACATGCCAATTAGAGTCCAAGTGCCCACTTAGTGTAGGGTTGTAAATATAATACCGGCTTTCTTTGTCTAAACATCTCCCACATATCAGCAACATGAGCTTTCCACTTACTGTCAAGAAGCACACACACTTTGCTCAGGGGATGGGAATGAAGACACCTGTTCTGTGTGCTGTTGAGTCAAGAGAAATAGAAATAAAAAACTAGCGAGGGGTGCCCCCTTCTGGAGAAAGCATGAAACACGACATGAAAATGCGAACTAAATACTGATACCCCATGACAACAGAACCTTACTTGTTTTAACAGTTAAGTTTATGAAAGAAAAGCCAAGAAAAGATATTGTTGCCACAGCTCAATTTAATATGGAAAAAACTGAAATTACGTGTAAAACATCTAAAAATGTGTCCTCTCATTCTGTTACACCAGAACATTTATAAAGTAACACTGCTTAGCTTATCAGAGTCAGACAAAGAGAAACACTTCCTGTATGTAGATACTTCAGGGGAGCAGTGAGCCAGAGTACAGACACAGTGCTGATTCTTTCAAATGTGTCACGGTGCACTGATGTCTGCAGGTCCCACCTTCACCGACTAACAATTAAGGATGAAATACTAAAATTAGTGCCCATCGGTACAAAGACGGCCAACTCCCAACCACAAATTTGGCCTGTCAGGCTGCCAACATCTCCCTGTCTGGCTTGTTCTTTGCTTCTCTTCTCTCTAAAAAAGAAAATCACAGTAAAGCAAATGGCATCAATTACTGTACAAATACATCAAGTGTGCGAGGAATGCTTCGTGATGTGAAATAAGGGAAGCAATCTTACCTGGTTCAGCTTTTGCCACCTCCGGGACCTTGGGTAGTGGCTCAGTGGGGACCTCTGGAAGTGCTACATCTTCTCCCTGTTTCAGGAGAGCAGACAGAGTAACGATAAAAGTTGTAACAATAAATTTTACATTTCGCAACTGGGAAAGTACTTAAATATTTAGTTGCAGAGTTTAAAAATGTTTTCAGGCTCTAAGAAGTTGATATTCTGGCGATACAAGCTTCAGGATTCAGAATCTTTGACCTTTTGACCTCCTCCCACTGAGCGCTTAGGCTGCAATCTCAGAACCCAATGGCTGCTGGTCTGACGATGATATGCAAATATCTGCTTATGGGGATTACTGAGGCTACGTTTTAAAATGTTCTATTTCAATTCACATATCTAAGCAGAGGCAAGTTATTTAACCCAAACGTGGCACATTCAAAACATTTGTAGACAAACTGGTGAAAGGAATATCACACTACTCACTCCCTTTTGTTGAATTGAGAAGAATTTGAATCTGTGTTGAAGTGTGAAACATTATAATTTGAGAGTGTGTGTCATTTGGAATAATAATCACATCATAAAAGAGGCAAAATCTGCTGAGGTTTTAATTATTGGGGAATCAACCACATTCATTAAACAGCCTATTATTACATACAAATGATGATATTTTGGCTTCTGGCTTTGCTTATTCCTCTCCTTGAGAGACAAATATTGTACAAATCTGGTCAAAATACCAACATGCAGTTTGGGCACGAAATCCACTCTTGACTCAACTCTGAATCACAGCTTTAACAACAGCACCGCTCCAGTGGAAGCGCTACAGTGAGTGGCAAACAGCTGAAGCCTGTAGTTACACCAGGCCTCGGCATGTGTAACTATAAATGTGAAGTAGGGTGTCACTGGGGAAACAACACGCATGGTCAGCAAACTGTCTCAGTGTTAATAAAGGCTGAACATTCAGCGTGACACCCACCTGAGTGATAGCTTCCAGCTCTGCTAGAACAGCGTCCTCATCCTCCTGCGTCAGGACTCCAGCCAGCATTTCATCTATTTGCTGCGGGAGCCAGAAAAAAATGTGTTAGCTGACAGCACAGTGACAGCTCAGTGTTTTTGCTGACTTACTATAAACATGGACAGTTATCCATATAATGTCTGGGAGAGCTCAGATTTTGGCGGTCTGCATCCTCGAAACATGTAGTTTACACTGATCAGCTGCAACATTAAACCACTGACAGATGACATGAACAATACTGACCATCTTGTTACAATGCCATGCTCTACTGGGAACATTTGGTCCTGGCATTCATGGGGATACCACTTCAAGCACTTCACTCATCCAAACACCGCTGCAGACCAAGTCCCCCCCTCATGGCAATAACACTCCACCACAAACAATGCTCAGAAATTGCCTGAGGAACATGACAAAGAGTCAAGTCAAGTCAACTTTATTTATAAAGCACATTTAAAAACAACTCATGTTGACCAAAGTGCTGAACATATAAAAATAAAAATGAAAAAAAAATACAAAAGAAACAAAGAGTGAAGGCATCAACCTGGCCTCCAAATTCCCCAGATCCCAATCTGATCGAGCATCCATGGGATGTGCCAGTACCCCACCTCACAACCGACAGGTCTCAAAGGATCCACCGCCAACGCCCAGGTGCCAGACTTCAAAGCAAACCCCCAGAGGTCCCGTGTCCATGCCTTGAGGTACCTCTGGGATACCAGCACGTCCCACGAATACTCAATCAGATTGGGATCTGGGGAATTTGAAGGGCAGGTCGATGCCCTGAGCTCTCTGTCACGTTCTTCGGGCCACTCCTGAGCAGTTTTTGCATTGAGGCGTGGCGCTTTGCTCCGCTTGGGAGGCCACTGCCATCAAGGTGCATTGTTGCCATTGGGGGCGGGGGTGTACTAGGTCCACAGCGGTGTTTGGGTGGGTGCTGCGTGTCAAGTGGAATGCCACATGAATGCCAGGAGCCAAAAGTTTGCCAGCAGAACTCTTACCGGACATGTTAGTTAATATCAAAGGGACAGTTCATCCTAAAAATGTAGTGCTATTCATCAGTCTAGATTGTTTTGGTGTCAGTTGCCAAGAGATATCGGCCATGGAGCTGCCTTCTCTTGAATATAATGGAACTAGATGGCACTCAGCTTGTGGTGCTCAAAGCACAAAAAATACATTTGAAAAACTCAACAGCAATTTCTCTTTCCGGAAATCATGACCTGATTACTCAAGATAGTCCACAGAACTTGCTGCGAGCAGTTTCGTGTAGGAACTATTTTCTTTCTACTGAACTACACCTGCTGTCAAAAGTTTTTTCCCGTGCTTTGAGCACCACATGCTGAGTGCCATCTAGTTTCATTATACTCAAGAGAAGGCAGACATCTCTGCAGCTGATATCGTCAACACTCGGCAACTCATACCAAAACAGTCTGGATGGATATTCAGTGCTACATGTAAGAGGGAAAATATGTATTTTTGATCTTGAGGTGAACTGTACCTTTATGCTTAGAACTAATATAAGTGTATTCAGGACTGGTTTTAATAAACAATTATTGGAAAAGTAGGAATAGCACTGTAAAAGTGTTCTTCCAAGACATCAAGGAGACATTTACCCTTTGATATTCAATTGATTCCTGGGTCTCATCCAGGATTCTCTCCACATCTTCAATTGACATGATCTGTCACGAACAAGAAAAGAAACCCATATTACAGGAGAAAAGTGTTTTTTGGAAGAAAAGTGTTCTCCACACATTCTGGCTGGCTTGTGAATTTCCTGAGCAAGATCTGAACACTGTATCCAAGGATGTGCAGCAGCAGTCACACTGCTGTAGTCAAGGCTTTGCTTCTTAATCCCTTAATCTTCAAACAATGTGCACCAGCTATGCTAACACAAACCACAGGCTTCCTCCACTGCTCAATCCTCACCCAAGGATCACATTAAATAAAGTGCGCTTATCAGTGGAAACTTTGACATTGTTGAAGTATACACTCACATATCAAAAGCTTAAGGGTGTATTATTATCACATGGATGTGAGAGGCACATTGCTGAACACAAAAGGAAAGGAGTAAACATGAAAGCATATCTACCTCGTGCATGCTCTTCAGACAATCGTTGCCAACCTTAAGCCCCTCGATGACTTTCATCTCAATTTGCATGAACTCAATGTCTTGAACCTGTTGACAATATAAGCACGTGAAAACATTAAACATGCGAGACAAACAAACAAAAACAACAAAGGCCCAAATATCAGAGATATGATATAAAACTGTATGCTGCTCTAATTCTCTCACACAAGCACTAAGTTCTGACTATTACATTTCAGACAGCCATATATTGTACAAAAAATAACAGCACCTCTCACTCCACACATTTTTGCAGCTCAGGTTAAGCTCGGATTTGCAGGAAAATCAGTAAGCAGACTTTGGAAGATTTTATTTTTTATCATAGTATTTCATATCACACTGAGCCCTTCTCTCTGCTCCTTAAAACAACTGTACAAAGTATAAACCTGATACACCTATGAGCCGTGGCTTGGTTCTTTTTAAAACGCGATGCCATCAAATAATGAAATCTCACAAAACTTACCATGCGCTCTAGGTTTGAAATCTGATTTTCAGTCTTGTCTAGCAGCTGATCCTGATATCGTTTCTTCTTAAGAAGCAGCAGTGCTTTTCTGCAACGGCAAATAAAAGGGAGAAACATAATACAGCAAAGTTTGTTTGTTGCAACTTCTTTTTTCTAAGGTATTCATACAGTATGTAGTATTGCATTACAGAATAAATCCGATTACAGGTGTTGCCACTGAGTCTGTGGTGCAGTCTACACCTTAGTCGATTTCAAAAAGTCAATATCTGCAAAGTAATGCACGCAGTGTTGTTATTTAATAGAAATCTACATACAGTGTTCCTAATTACAATTAAATGTAGGACACACAGGTTTTCCCAGCTGCTCTTTCGTCAACCATATGTGTCATTTTCAATTAACAGCAACCTTTTCCTTTGTGACCTTTGCCTGCCTTCACAGTGGTGTGAGGACACGGTGATAGATGTGACCTGAAAAGGGTTTACTATCTTTTTTTTTTAATGCTTACTCTTTCCTGCCATCTTTTAGCAACTGCTTTGCAAGGAGTCGCTCTTTCTCCAGCTGTAGGGTGATCCTCTTTTGGTACTGTTTCAGCTTATCTCTCTGCTGCTTCAATTGCTGTAAAAAAAAAAAAAAAAAAAAAAAAGGAAAAAAAGCACAAATTCAGACACTTTTTTTTTACACAGCACAAAACAACCTATATGAATCCTTTAAATAATTAATAAAAAAAAAAAAGTCTGAATAAAATAGAATATAACCTACTACAGATGTGCATACGTTTGGCAATATTTTAGTATAGGATATAATGCTAATAACCTAAAATAAATACTTATATTTAATTACCACATATTTGATTATGTATCAAAACAATTACAATTAAGTTACACCAATATAATATTCAGCATTTGTCTGTTTTGTGCTGCAGTGCAATGTACAGTGGTTTCTATTTGTCACCCTGTGTTAGACTTAACCACAACACACACACACACACACACACACACACTAAGCTTGTCCCAACAAAGGACTCCTGTCTAATGTTGAATAACACCGAGCTAAACACATCAGCTAACATTACTCCATGTTGTACCGGAGCTATGCAGCCTGTTATTATAACGGGACTAATCCGCTGCTTCCACCGCTGTCAGCTCACCAAAATGGCTTTGTCTTGTTCCGTTACACGTGAAGGTCGGCTCTTTCTCCCAAAAACGTTTCCCATTATTCAGCCACATCCCCTCCACATCCTCCCTCGTCAACAGACAAATTATCACTTGCTGCCGAACATGTTACCATGATAATAAACAGCCGAAAATGGCTAGCAGGCTAACTGACTACCATCATGTCCACAGTTTTTCCGTGTTTCCTACGGCAAGCGAGGCAGGACATTAACTCGGCTGTGACTTCACGTCAGTGCGGAGCTCAGAGAAATATGTCTTAGTGGCAGCAGCGTGATAAGGCAGCCATGTCACAACTGTTGTGGTACATTATTTGATATCAGCAGCACGTATAGCAGCACATCCCTGGTCGTCAGCAGGACCTACAGGCTGGGTACCGGGGACAGCGTCAGGCTCCCCAGGGGGCTCCAGGATCAGCACCCTGGACAGCGACCACGACATTATTGAAAGGGACCCACCTGAGCCAGATAGGAAGACAGGAGGGTGCTGGTAAACAGCTACACATAATTTACATTTGCACAATTTCCACCTTACCATTGTTTATAAAAAAACATCCTCAGGTCTATTTGAACAAATTTAATTGTACAGATATTATGATTGTAAAATGTGTTTGTATGGTTTTGCTGTGCTGTGGGGTAAAGATGGATCGCACACTCATGGAAGGATAAGAGAAGGGACTATGGGGACAGGCTTAGGAGTCCAAAGTGTCAGGGTGACTCTGGCCTCCATCTGCAAAATGTCACTCAAATGAACACAACTAGGAAGAGAGTCATGATGATCTCAAGAGGGAAGGAAATGAACTGCAAAGCAACACAAAATAACTACAAAGAGACACAAAACAACCATAAAGAGACACAAAATGACTACAAAGAGACACAAAATAACCAGAGACACAAAATGACTACAAAGAGACACAAAACAACCATAAAGAGACACAAAATGACTACAAATAGACACAAAACAACCACAGAGACACAAAATGACTACAAACCAGGCAAAACGACCACAAAGAAACACAAACAACCACAAAGAGACACAAAATAAGTACCAACAGAGGCAAAACAACCACAGAGAAACACAAAACAACCACAAAGAGACACAAAACAACCACAAAAAGAGACAAAAACAACCACAGAGAAACACAGAGTAACTACAGACACAAAACAACCACAAAGAAACACAAAACAACCACAAAGAGACACAAAACTACAAAAAGAGACAAAAACAACCAGAGAAACACAAAATAACTACAAAGAGACACAAAACAACCACAAAGAAACACAAAACAACCACAAAGAAACACAAAACAACTACAAAAAGAGACAAAAACAACCACAGAGAAACACAAAATAACTACAAGAGACACAAAACAACCACAAAGACACACAAAATAACTACAAAATGAGGCAAAACAACCACAAAAAGACACAAAATAACCACGAAGAGATATAAAGTAACTAGCAACAGAGGCAAAACAACCACAAAGAGACACAAAACAACTACAAAAAGAGACAAAAACAACCACAGAGAAACACAAAATAACTACAAAATGAGGCAAAACAACCACAAAGACACAAAACAACCACAAAGAGACACTACATGACTACAAATCAGGCAAAACAACCACAAAGAAACACAAAACAACCACAGAGTCACTACACAGAACTACAAAGAGATATAAAGCAACCAAAAGGAGACATAAAGCAACCAAAGGGAGACAGACAATGACCACAAAATGACAGCATTGGGGCCATTTGCATATCTGCGCCCCACGGCTAATTGCCTCATAATCCACCCTGTTTAAACTCACTGAAAATCTCATTTTAGTAAGGTGTGCGAAATGATGACGATGCACAGGTGTACTCCAGGACAGAGCCCAGCCTGCTGTCATTGCTGACATCTCTCTTACAGCTTTTTGTAAAATGTTTTATGGTGTGGAGATGTATGATACTGGCTGAGGACGCTGCCCGTTGCGGCATCCTTAAATACTGGACACTTAAAATCTTAATTAGCCTTAACCCATTTCTACTGATCATTGGGCTGTTAGAGAGTAAAAAAAAAGAGCAATCACAAATAGTAAGTACAAAAATAATGACACAATAACACACATGTCTGAATACAGCATTTATGGTCAAACATGAGTTTACTTTGATACATTATCCAAAACAACAAACAGCACACAGCAGATTTCTCCAGTGCTGAAGAAAACAGTTTCTCTGGGGGCAGATGGATCTGAGAGCAAACCTCAAATTTCTACAAATTCAGTTTATATTTTACCAACTGCTCTACAGCACAGAGATAAATGCTTGGAGGTGAATTAAATCCCATTCTGTTGTGCTTATTTTGTCTCGGGGATTTTACCCACATGCAACTGCTATGGTCTCCACATGTAGCAAAACAATAATACACCTCTCAGCTACGACTATTTGACTCATCCCTGATCAGCAGGTCATACATGACTACAGAAAGATAAGATGCTTAAACCTGTGGCAGTTATCTAGAAAGATAAAACCGATCACAGATATCAACTTAGTAGCATCTTTGGCTCTTCACAACAAAACCACACCATATAATATGGTTTCATTTTTCTTATCATTTAGAAAAGGTTTAAAATATGGTGTGGTAGGTACTTAACACCATTAAAAGTCACACAAAGGTCTAAAAAATGAAGTAGTTAAGTTGCAGCCAAGGGGGATTTTGCAAAAATCAAAATGCCGTGATGACAGGTCTATGGGTCATATTCAGCCATCCTATGTCACATCAAAAATACTGACGGTATCGATGATCGTATCCATGCAGGCCATCAGAATACAGGAAAAAGCGACAAACATTTTTCATCCAATCAGGCTCTTAATGTGGCTCGTATCAATGCTAATGTTGGAGTAACAGTGTTTCCATACAAGACAACATCAACAGCAGTCTTGAGTCTTGAACCCATACAGGCCGTCTCTGTTAACAACTGCGTGCTGGGCTTTTGCAGCACTGCATTGGTGAGTTACTGAGGTCAATGCCTCGTGTGGCCTGCTTTCACATCTCAAAGAGGGACAGCAGCTGCAGCTCCAGTAAACAGGAGTACACCATGAAGACAGCCTCCTCGGTGAGAGCCCAGAGTGTCAGACAGTGTTTCTCTGAAAAGGATTCAGTAGGTTGCAGGCTACACCTGGAAGTCAGTCCCGAAGTGTCTGATCTGGGCGTCAGTCATAGATAGATAGGTGGTCCTCATACTGGGCGAGTACTGCAAGGGAAATGATTGGAAAACAAAATTTAGCACATCTGCATTTGAAAAACATTTTATAATCAAATCAAATTAAACATTAAAATGATGATCTGATTCAAGCTCAGAGGATGAGCTGTTCTTTCATTAAAAGGTTGTGGAATCTGGGGATGGTACTTTAATGTTGCCGGGGAATTAAAGGTCCAGTGTGTAGAATTTAGGGGGATATATTGGCAGAAATGGACTATAGTAGGTATGTTTTCTTTGGTGTATAATCACCCAGATATAGGAATCGTACTGTTTTCTTTAGCTTAGAATGAGCCGTTTATATCTACGTAGGGAGCAGGCCCTTGTCTACGGAGGTTGCCATGTTGTAGCATCATGTTCTTACTGTAGCCCTGAACAGACAAACCAAACACTGGCTCTAAACATGGCCATTTGCATTTTTGCGCCGGCCACCAAAGTAAGCAGCCGAACAGCATTAGAAAAACACTGAATTTTAATGTGAAACCGTTTATTTCAGTGTTTTAACCAATTTAAATCACCAGCTGTGTTTATTGTGGAGGGAAAGAGACCTCTGCAGATAATTTGGCTCCTGGTAAAAACCTCCTGAACGTCTGGATCTTAAGTCACCAGATAAAAAAGGTGAGCACACATTAGCAGGTGCTGGGCTAGCTGCATGTCTGCGATGAGCTAAACAGCATCAGAGAAACACTGATTTGTAACGTGAAACTGCTTTGTTCAGTGTTGCGACCAATTTTAATAACCTGGTCCCTTTGTTTTGAAGAGGAAGAAACCTCTGCGGATAAAGAAGGAATTCTAAACAAGAAATCATATGTGAGAAGTTTCAGCTGGTTGCAATCTGCAATTCTCACCACTAGATGCCACTAAATCCTACACACTGTTCCTTTAAAGAGCAGGTGAAGAGCAGACAGAGGGCGAGTCAGGGGTCACAGAATAAGTTACACTCACATCAAAACAGTGCCAGAAGGTCAGAGGTCACACAGCTGAGCTTTAAGGGTTTTTTTTTTTTTTTTGGTTAAAACATTTTGCATAGCAAGCATCATTACACACGTAAGCCCAGACTTTGTGTCAAGGAGTGGAATGAAAATGAAACCAAACAAATCAGGAAGAAGTTTGACAACAACAACAAAAAAAACTTACGGTTTTTAAATGTCTGAGTAAAAGAATGAAAATAACAAAAGGGTTAGTTATAAAACACTGGTTAATATTCAGCAGTTAAGATACCTGTTTTTGAAAAACCGCTTAAATAAAAGCAAAAGTAAAATGCATCGCAGAGCTGATTCACAAAAATGAATAAATAAATAAGTTCTCTCAGGTACACAAACAAATGAAACACACAGGTGCCTGTTAAGGATGTGTCTCATGGAGGCAGACTTAAATTTTAAACAATGGTCCACATTCTCTCTTTTTCTTTGCCTCAGAAGGTGTTTTCAAGTCTTTGGTTCGCTGTGAATGCAGTTCAAGCACTGAGTCAGCCACGCACACAGAAAACTTAACAGAGGAGAAACTTGAACGAAAAGAAACCTTAACTGTGGATTTACCAGCGTCATCTATCATGTAGTTCTGGAGACACACCACACGCTTTTAGACTAAAGCCTCGTTTCCACCGAGCAGTTCAGTTCATTACACATTAGAATGGCTATTTTTGTGTTTACTTTGCAAAAGTTGTGGATGTACCAACAGGATCGCTTCATTCTGACCTATTTTTCTGTCACTCCCTTGTTGAGGTACTAAGCACAGTGATCTGATACTAAAATGTGGAGCTAGAAACACTGCAGTCTGTTGATTGGTCAACAGAGAATCAACACTCTAGGTCAGACTACAGTGGACTATAACCATTGTTCCTATAGTGGCAAGTTTACATACATTAGTCAGCTATAACTACAAAATGAAAGGATGTTTTGCTGCCTGTCATCTTTATAAGATAAGAAATTATCTACATAAGAGTGACATGACACTGCCATAACTATGACATGACACAGTCATGGACCTGTCATGAACATTGTGTACATGTCATAAACGTTTATGACTGCTGTCATTAAGTGTCATTCAGTTTTTGTAATGACAAGTTGACATTGTTTGGGTTGTCTTGATTATGACAACTTGACATTAATCAAAGTGACATTATCAGAAGTTGTCTTTGTCATGACAAGTTGACATTAAATTTGTTTGGGATGTCCTTATAATGACAACTTGACATTAACCAGGATGACATTACCAGAAGACGTCTTTATGTTAATGTCAAGTTGTCATTATAAGGACATCCCAAACCAATTTAATGTCAACTTGTCATGACAAAGACATCTTCTGGTAATGTCACTTTAATTAATATCAAGTTGTCATAATCAAGACAACCCAAACAATGTCAACTTATCGTTACAAAACCCGAATGACACTTAATGACAGCAGTCATAAATGTTTATGACATGTACATGATGTTCATGAAAGTGTCATGTCATAGTTATGACAGTGTCATGTCACCCTTATGTAGATACCTTCAAGTAAAGTGTTACCAATCAGGTAATTCACCATCTCCTGCATGTTACTCAATGCATGAGCTGACACTATTATTCAATTAACACAACTTACGTTCAACATGATGTCCATGCCATTTGTTTTCATTGGCTCTCTTGCATGACATATGCTTAGCTAATAGTTGGATCATCAAGCACTTGAAAAATGTAAACGAATGTCACCCGGTTTATGTCCACTGCACTTATTCTATTCCCTCATTTGGCGGCGCCTCATTCCTGTGTGCTCCGGCAGCACTACACCCCTGCTCCAAACACCTCAGCCTGCTCTTTTTTGTTCTGTAATGTTGGCGTGCACTCCTGTTCCATGGACAAAAAGCAAGGTGCAGACGTTCCTCTGCATCATTGAAGAGGAAATACAGCAAAAGCTGGATGGAGCAGTGACAAAACTACTATCAAATAACAATCCTGTCTACATTTTAGAGTACTGTCTGCGGTGGAAACGCAAAACAGATCTCTAGTGTTAGATTGAAAAGCAGCTTGTGAGTTCTACTATTAAAACTAGATAGCTGCACTTTCTTTATCTGACAAAAAGCCATGGTTATTTCACACAGACATATTGCATAGTCTTACAAATGCTTTGCAAGAATTAGAAATAAGATCCAAGTCAGTGGTGAAGCAAACAGGAGCATATGTTCAGAGGTTAGTAGTGACAGTATGTGATGGCACTAGGCTAAAAATAATGCATGCATTTCAGTCTATGGCCAGCAGAGAGCAGTCTTCCATCACATTATTCTCCTCAGTCAGTGTTGACACAGTGCAATTTTATATGTATTGTGTTCATGGTGCTGCTATGCATGCTTTCTGTGAGTGTTGCAGCATTGTCGGGGTCAGTAGTGCCATCATCATCGTCATCACACAAGGGACACTAGAGCCTCATAGGGCCAACGCACCGAGGGGGGTGGGGATCCTCTCCCTATGAGCGGCACATTCTCATACCGAGGACTCCCTCCAAACAGCATGGACTGATTCCTGTGACGGAGAGGGAAAGAAGAGAAGTAAGCAATGAAACACACAAACACAACCATGCTGTCATCATCTATTCAGCTTACATGTATTCAGGAGGTGGTATGGTATTAGAGGCAGACTGCGGAGGCGGGTGAAGGCTGGCCTGGCTGCCGAGGCTGCTGGTATAGCTACAGAAACTGTGGATGTTGGACCTTCTGGGGTTGTAGGATATCCGCCGGGCTTGGGGGTTAAATGGGTCCTCCTCATCTATGTCGTCATACTCTTTGTCCCTGGATGAAAGTGGCGCACACACACACACACACACACACACACACACGTAACACACAAACAAAAACAGGAACAGAGAGAGTGCATGTGTTAACACTTTCCAGGAGTGCACTGTGGGCAGTGCGTAATGGGATAAGGGGGTTGCTTGGTTCTGACCTGCTGCCCATTAGTGTCCACACTCTGAAAATCGCGCACAGCATGGCAGAGAGTGCGCAGGCAGCCAGAAGGGAAAACAAAGAGAGGTAGAGGAGCCCTTCCACCCCATCATAGCACACACCCATTAGGGCATCCAGGTAGTCCTAGAAGAATGGACGCACAAAGTACAGTCGGTTATTGACAGTTTCCCGTAAAACATTACTTTTCACAAATACAGTCCCTTTTATCAGAACTCAGTATTATTCCAGGTTGAAAAAGGGTGATTTGAGTTATGGAATTTACAGACAAACATGACATGGGCACACTGATGGACAAAAACATGTTTATTTATGTCACTTTTTGGGGACATTGAATTCACTTTCAGTCAAGCAATTCATTTTAAAGGCAGATTACGTCTATCTTAGGACTCTAAACAACATTAGATCGCTGTTTGAAATGTGAACTCTTACTGTCTCTCTTAATGTAGCCGATGTGTCTGTGGGGGGGGCGGTCCACAGTGACAGAAATGCTCAGCCCATGCCTTCACATGCACTTTATACACACAAACACAATGTAGTCTTTTTCCACAGAGACCCTCATGTTACTCTGATGACATGCATGTTTAAAATGCATTCTTTGTTTGTTTCGCTTGTTGCCCTGGTTGTGTGTGTTGTCAGAGTTACTGGGTCTCTTCGAACATCCTCACTTTTAATGTAAATGTCATGACTGGCATTCATGTTGACTGGACATCCACCAAATCAGGCTGTTCTTATTCACTGTTCTTACTTATAGAGTGCTGCAGGAATGAGTCTAAAACCTCAGAAATGAGTTGCACTTCTGGTTCCCTCGTCTCGAAGTCAATGGGTTTTTTGAATAGGTTTTATGGTTTGATGCCTGAAATAAGGTCTGCGGTTAAAACAAGCTCAAGAGACTTTCTCTTTTTGTTTTACGACTCAAAGTATGTCAGTAAATACCCCACTTATGAATTTTTGACGCTTTTACATGTCTTGAAAAGGCAATCACTTACAATTGGCTACATAACACTAGAGAACATCATCATGTCGGGCATGACTTTAATAGCCTTGTTGTGGTGGTGGGTTTAAAGTCATCTTACCATGGTGTAGTTCATTTATAGCCTAACATTAACATTAGCTTTTACCAGGAACCAGGGCGATGCTAATAAAAACATTATCTTTGCACCGCTTTATACCCAAAAAGTACTGCACTATAATGTGTTTATAACCCACGCAATCGTAAGGCAGGAGGCTGTGATCAGGCTGCAGGCTGTCCTCCCAAAATGACAGGAGAAAAGGAGGAAGTCAGGTGACAAAGTATAAAGAGTTGCAAAGGCTGCAGAGGGAGGTGGTTGGGGTTGATGGGAGGGTCAAACAAACACAGGACTTTGACCCGGGAGCCTGCTGCTCGTGTTCCGTGTAAAACCAAAAGTCAGCGTTAAGTTATTTTAACGTCACGTCATCACATCACGCTGGATGCCCAACCACAGTTCTTATACTAAACATGACCTGACATAAGCTATCATATGGACCATGTGCAGAATCTTTCCTAAGATATGATACAAACTGTTTTGCGGCCAAGTTACCACCCTGCTGATATTCTGAATACAGTCTCCCACCCTCCACCTAACCTCATTTCTATTCCGTTTTTAAAAGAATGACACAGCTGCAGCACATGCTGTATACTGTGTATATAAAGGCTCTATTGATCAAAAAGCCTACATCCTGTGTTGCAATCACAGCAGCGAGAAAGACTCATTTCAGCACTGAGATGCCTTATTCCCTTTACAGATACAACTCTGACAATCTGAAAGTTGCAGGTGTAAAGTTAGATTTTACAGTGAGAAAAACCGGGGGTGGTGAATAGAGCTGGTCTGGCTGATACAATGTGTATTGACAATTGCAATAAAGTGTATAAACATGTTAGAGATATGGTTGAAAAATCAGTCAGGCTGGTCCTCTAAGCAGCTTTGAGCTATGCTACAAAGCAGACTTATTAAAAAGTGTCCTGGTCGGAATCTGACCTTACCTTATGTAGCCCACGGCAGTCGAGCAAGGCTGTTAACTGGTGTAGACTGAACTCGGTGGAGTTCAGCAGTCGCTGGATCCCCAAAAGGTCTCTCTGTATATATTAAAAAAAGGGTTTAAAAGAGACGAAAGAATGATAGACATTTTTCCACAGTCTGGTGTAATAGTCCGTCTGCCAGCCACACTTACCTCAGCTGTGGGGAAGATGGGTACCGAGAACTGCAGCAAGCCCTGGATCTGAATTTGCATGGTGGTCAAAGAACGCTGGCAGATTGTCAAAGACTGCGTAAACATAATCGCCCACCGACATCACACGCACAGACATCCACAACAAACAAAGAGAGGATCACATTAAGGGGAGCATTGTTGGGGAGCAGCATGTCAACAAGTAATTTGGTGTCAAAGAAGGCTTTATAACGCGCTTAACAGAGGACACATTTCTTTCCAGACTGATACGTGGGCCCAGATTATCCTTCGCCACAAACCGTCTCGCCCACCAGTCACTGTCCCTCCTCCCATTCCCACCAACCACATTGCAAGCACAAACAAAAGAGCAATATTTATATCAACTAGGCCATCGGAGGAATAGATTATCCTTACCTACTTAACAGGCGTCATTTTAATCCCTAAATGGATGCGGCGACGTTAACTAAGCATGCAGGTTTTAATAATTACTGGTCATGGGTTTATCCTTGACAAATTCCCTTTATACATGCCATACATTTACAGTACTAGTCATGAAAGAATCCTGTGTATGAATAATACGAAGCTGCAGGATCACACCATCATAAATTGCATGATAACATGCAAGTGTTGAACTGTGCATGGTGAGAAGGTGGCGCATTACTCAAGAAAGAAAGCCTTGTCATTAGTAAGTGGCCATAAATTCACCCTCTGTGCTCCACAACTTCACATTGGGTTCAGTGATAGATTAGGCGATCGCGGAGGCCGACTTCATCATCCGGTTCATGAATTTAAACACATTATCATGTGGCGCACCTGGTCATGTACACAAAGTCGACGTTAACTGTTAACTGCCTCATGCAAAATTTATTTCCGAGCCATAACAGCTTCAGCAAAAGATACACAGGTGTAAACCAATGCTAAGTGAAAAATACAATGAAAGACAACTGGAGTGTTTTCTTTATTTTACAAGGTTATATGGCTGAATCTGCAGGCCTCGGAAATAAGTGTTTCATGAATAGCAGCCATCAATTATATTCCGGGGCTGTGATGCTCACATTGCAAGGGTTTTGTGTGCAACTGTATCATCTCTACAGTTATTTTTGAGCCACTTTTAATGCACCTGCATTTCAAGCACCAATAATTGGCCTCTTTGGAATGTCTGAAGTATCTAGGTCTTTCTTTGCTGAAGCATCAATGAAAAAAGTGATGGGCAGATGTCTTTATACATAGAAATAATTCAGGATTCTTAATTCCTCTTCCTATTTCCTCAAGATTTTCCAGTTGCCTTTAAACACTAGCTGCCTTTATGCATGATATACAGTAAACTGAATAAATAACTAAAAAATGCTGCCAGTGAGAATACCCCAAGGCTGAGATTATGCACAGGGTAAAAGATACGGCTAATTTTTGGAGACCCACATATGAAAAAAGGAATATTCTTTGATCAAAGTTTATCACTTGAAGTAATTAAATTAGTGTTGGGGGGATCATTTTTCAGAACCGATGCGATTAGGGCCTGATAATGATCTAAGCAGCCTGGCGTCTAACAAGGAAAAACTCATTTTAAAATAGCAATACATTTTCCAGTTTGTGACTCTCGGTAAACAACTACACGTGTAAGCAGACAGCTGAGACTTTGGACGTTTCGTCAATACCTGTTGGAAAGGGTTTGGTAGATTCGGGCTGCAGAACAAATAATAGTGTGCAACATCTGGAGGGGGAGAGAAATAGAGAGACAGGGAGAGAGATTAGCATTGTGTCGAAACATTCAGTGACAGAGAGCTTGTGTCTGTGCAATTCTGTTTGTAGAGATAAATTACCTGCACTGAGGAAATCCTTGGTTTGGTTAACAATAAACTTGTCTGGAGAAACACAAAAGTCACTGGTGCCCTGTAGGAAAACAACAGCATGCTGTAATCTATGCAAGTATGCACAACCAGAAAGAGTGCAGTATTTATTTATGAACGAGATCCAATTTCTTGTGCTGCAACTACACTAAATTTGCACTGAGCGCTTTTAGACAATCTCTCAACAACACAAAGTATTTGCTTTACAAGATTTTTAGCCTTGTTTGACTGTGAGCCAAATGAAAGTGCCCGCAGACATGCACACACACACACACACACACACACACACAAATAGATACACACACATGCATTAAAAAAACACACACGCAAAGAAAAATGTGTGGTATGAAGGAACAGATCTCAGGCTATATTGACCATGTACAGCATTACTCGCTTTGCTGACCACGGGTGAAATCTACTAAATATTTCCATGCTCTCACATTCATCCATGGAGACCTGGATGTGTGCATGCATAAACTAATAAGGGTTAAGGTCACGCAGCCTCTGTGCACTTAAGTCTTTCCTCGAGCAGGAAAAAGAAGGCACCAAATAAAAGGGCAAATAACAAAAGTAACTAAATAATTCCTCATGCACATGCATAATTAAGAGACAGAGGAAATAACAGGCCGCTGTTGAAATTGATCAAGTTCAAAGGGGTCAGGAAATCTGCTGTGACGCAGACTCATACATCAAAGCCTCGTGCCATTTATTTCCAATCTAGTCTTGTGTCCACTGCTTTTCATGTCAGCTCCAATCAGAAAGTATCTTTCCACAAACTGCTGTTGTAAAGCAAAGCTCGACCAACTCCACAAAGCGATGATTAATGAAATCCAGGAAGAAACAAAACACAACCTTCGTTTCTGCTTTGTAGTTTTACGCTTATTCCACCTCAGGTTACCAATATATCTCTAAACACCACTGCCATCACATGACATTTGTTGTCAGCGGTAACTGTACAGCAATGTGTGTGTGTGTGTGTGTGTGTGTGTGTGTGTGTGTGTGTGTGTGGGTATGTGTGTGTGTGTGTGTTAGGCACTACTAGGATGTTACCCTTCATCTCTATCTCATTATACTACCAGGGACATTTTGTTTATGCTCCGTCTCATCAAATATGTATAAATTTATGAGCATTTTCTAGGACACCACCACTATCTACCTTCCTTTCAAGATGCACCATGTTTTCGAACCGCACAGTTTTTGAGTAATGATGTACAGGTGCAACAAGTTTACTTGTTTTGCATACTGTCCCATATTCAAATTCTTTTACTGACGACCACGTTCTTTGATGCATCCACTTCTGTATGGAGGACAGCCAGCCTATTAATAACCAGGCAGGTACAGTTATTCAGCAAATATGCCTCAGCTCATCTGTGATGGAACTGACTGACAGTGACAGAAGAGATGCATATTTTGGTTTTAATGGGGTTGTCTTCTAATATAATGGGTTAAACTAAGCCTCAGATATTGGTAATCAGGCTTTAAAACTGCAAAGAAGCTCTGCAATCACAGAGAACCGGAAGATATGTCTATTTCACACCTGTGTTGTTAAATTCAGCTTAAAATCAGCTGTCAACCCCACCTCTGCAACATTCTGTTCCCCCCTCTGCCTCACGGAAAACAGCTGTCCACATGTAAATTCCTGTGGGATAATGCACAGATGGGATAATCTGCGGGAGGCAAGGAGATCAGGGAGGGGAGACAGTTGGTCTGAAGGAAGGCAGGGAGTAAGGGGGATACTCTGTGTACCCCAGACAGTGCCCCTAATTCGAGCTCCATTACACCCTAAGCCCAGATGCGCCGAACACATGGTGCACAGACAGGAAGAGGGAACAATCTGTCAGAAATAAGGGGGACCGAAAGGCAGATAAAGCTGAACACAACAAAAGAAGAGATTCTGAAGAAAGCAGAGCTCGTAATTAATCCTAGAAACAGCTTTGTTTACAACGGAGGGGCTAAGGGTTGATAAACCTAAAACGCTCGGGACTTGTAATCAGCTTTACTGCATGACCGACCACAGAAAAGCGCCTTGCCGTAAACTAAACAAACATATACAGACACTCTTTAACCAGGAGAGATGTCCAAGAACACACCCTGCTTATTGACAGTAAAACCCTCGGGAAGTAATTGCATGAGGTGGGAAGCTAAATACAAGAACCACTGTCCACCCGGATGTCCGTGGATTCAACTCTGTGGGTTAAAAAAGAACCAACTGGGTTTAAAAAACAAATGCATAAACAATACGCGAGGAAAGCTTTTAAAGAAAGAGGGGGAAAATACTGTGTTTTCTCACCACAGCTGTAGCAGTGCCTGCTCCCAGTGAGGCCCAGCTCAGGATCAGAGACAGCGCGACAAAAGCCATGATCCTGGAGGAAAACAGCAAACGGGAAAGAGAGATGGGGATGACGGAGAGATCCAGACAAAGACAAAGACACATGGGGAGAAGCAGATGAATTAGCGGATCTTTGTACCGATGATCTTCAGCTCTTTCTCTCTCATTTGATTTATTCTTTTCAGCGTTTGCTCGGGAATTGTTCTCCTTCCGCCTAAAGACACAGGCCTCGCTCGCACTTTGTACTGGGGCATCGTAGATTAGACGATACGGCTGAAATTCAATTTATTATGGAGTGATATGAAGATAAATTAACTCATGACTCCTGGCTGAATTCACTTGTTAGCTGCAGAAAAAAAATTCTATTCAGATATAAGTTGAAAATTGTTCAACAGAGGTCTCAAAAGGCCATAACCAAAGATAATACTTGAGGTCTGTGGACTTTCCATCTCTGTCTTTTGTCGTTTCTGCTCTGCTGGACCCCACCAGTAACATCTTAACTGGCTGCACTCTCTGTGGATCATGGCTGTCAATCACAGTGCAATGTCGCTGTCAATCAAAGGCTGCCACACACTTTGTATTGGCTTGTCGACCTCTTGTCTTTTACGCCCTCTTTTGTCGGGAAAGAGTGAAGAGCTCAGCTGGGTCTTCACATTTCACACTGTGGGGGTGTTTTATGAAAAAAAATAACATAAAAAAAATCTTCCCACGATTAAGCAGCATGTCTTAGTGACCATTGGCAGAAGCTTGAGAAAGTGTTGTAAATTAGAGGGATATAAACCAGTAAAAAGAGGAGGAATGGCTCCCTGATGGATGTAAAGAGGTTGCAGAGGGCTTCTATTCTCAACTCACTCCTCGGACCTTCTTGAAAGCACCAATAAAGTAGCCTGAGAGCACTTAATAATTAGTTAAGGGAGCAGGCTCATCCTGCTCGTGCAATCAATAGGCATTAGTAAGGCCCATCAGAGAGAGATGTGAAGAGGGATCCTGGGCATCATCCGCTAACACTGACACGTAGGCTGCACTAAATTGGCCAAATGGGATGGGAAGTCTGGACTCTGGATTTGCTTGTCAGACATCGGTGTTGGTTTAAATGGATGGCTGCAATTTGCTAAATCAAACGTTCCTCCTCTTAATCTTCCCATTTCTTTCAGAGCTTTGGAAGCTTCTTTTTTATTGTTCAGAGAATAAACAACAAGGTTTTGACCTATTTTAGTGTCAAATCTGAAAATTATATTCAGCAAACTGATCGGTCAGCTTTATTGAGCATAGCGCTATAACATTGCCTTAATTGTAGGTGGAAATACAAGGCAAGTCACTGAGGAGAGGCATAAGGGCAGTGCCATTGTCTGTGCTATTTGACGATGTAATGCTATCGTTGGTGTTGTTAATGGAGTGACCTATATGGTGCCAGAGAGGCTGACTGGTGCCCTGCCTGTCTGCGGTCTCTGATCCCGGCAGAGGCCTGTGAGAACAGATATGGACTGCTAAGGGAAAACAAAAAGCCTCAGAAACAAGATGAAAAACAAGATGAAAAGCAAGTACGTACACATACACACTCGGGGTACGTACGTGATGAGCAGCCATCGAGACTGCTTGGCCATTCCCAAGCACACAGCCAAGCAGATGACCAGATCCAGGATCAGGAGCAGCAGATAGGTCAGCCATCTACGAGACAGGAAAACCAAGCATCACCATAACAACCCTGATTGATCACTTTCGCTCACAGACAGCATACTTTATGCGCAAGCCTCGGGAAGTGCTGGCCCAACATATGTTTGAGACCGAATGTGTGAGATCTGTGTGTGCTGTATATCAGCATTCTTGTCTTCTAGTTAGAGCCCATCTGTTTCAGGTAATTTCCAGCCTGTTGGCTTAATAATTCAACACCACAAATCCATAGGCATTAATTTTTTAAGCTCTGAAAATGTCCTTCACAGGAATGGCCTACAGTCAGCTTGGACTTGAATAGTGTGTGCGTGTGTGTGTGTTCTGACCAATGAAACCACGTGGGAATGCTTATGACTCATTCTTAACTCCAAAAGACGTGGTAGCATCATAAATCTTTTAGCAATGACAAAGAAAAAAGAACAGACTTTGATGTCACACAAACAGGTGAATTCTGAAGATGCTGTATATGGACAGGGACTTACTGTGAAGTACTGTAGTAAATCTGTATACCAAAGGTCACTAGAGAATATGATTCATTCATGCTATGTGACAAAGTCTGGATGTACCCAAACAGACACTGACAGACTGCAGACTGGTTCTTCCTCTGCCCACAGAGGAGGGCATATGGATGGAGAGAAACACTGAAAGAGAACTCACTTTACTTCATCTGCATAAACAGAACTACAGATTGTTTCCCTGAGCACAGGGACAGGATGATTTCAGAAACAGAATGGGGAAGGAAGGACACAATATTGGACAACATAATGGTGTCATTTTTCCCCTTGTTCGAATAACACTGGGCCTGGCCGTAACATTTGCTGTTCATCAATAAAGCCCTGCCACAGGCTGTTCATAGCTCGATGGCTGCATGAAATTCAATCAACACCCAGGAGATTGGTGTCAGAATGCACAAAGTGGAGACTGTAGTCCAAAAGAAGATCTGATCTCATGAAAGGACAGAACAACACACCATATGGGAATATGTATGCATGAAATTAATGATAGGAATATGTCAGTAAAAAGACACTATCAGTGATGCAACTGTGGTTTTTTGTGCTTGGTCAAAGGAACTTAATATCTCTACAGTTGCCTCAACGAGAAGCGCAGAAGAAAATATAGACACGTATGTAAGTTAGATATCAACAAGAGTTATCACCTCATGGTTGTGTGCCTCCGCCAACCAGTGAAGTTACAGTTTACATCCATGTCTGTCCAGAATCATATGTAGCCATGGCAGCAGACAATGCTTCAAATATGTTGCTGCAAAAAAGCTACATATTCTAAAACAGCAGTTCCCAACTAGTGGATCGTGGTCCAAAAGAGGGTCCTAGGTCCATTCTGAATGGACTGCAAGTGACTCGCAAACGACACACAAGATGGCCGGGTGGGGCAACGACTAACATGTTACCTTAACGACACTGAAACTAAGAGCTCACATGTTAGAACTGAAGAAGCCTCTTGGATGAGAGTTGAAATGTCTTAAAGAAACTCAAGCAAGTCCAGTTGCCTACGATATAGCACTTTTGATCACCATGACTTGGATGACTGAGAATCTTCACCGACACAACTTGCAAACATGTCAAGTTTGAAAAAAAAAACTGCTTTATTTTGAAGTACAATGAATTTGCGGCCGAGAGCTTCTACTTTGAAGTGCCGTTCCCTGCTGTAGCGAGAGTGACCAATGGAGAGCTATATGACAGAAACAGCCAACTAGCTCAATGACAACCCAAGTATGAGTCTGAATACACTGAACTCTGTGGACCTTGAACAAATGACTGAGGACAAATCTGGACCCCTTGGCTGGACCAGTTGGGAATCACTGCTCTAAAACATGGATGTTTCAAACACATTCTCAACCTACAGCACAGAAGATCTATGCAAAGGGTCAAAGTCAAGGTGGACACCCAAGATTAGTGTCACCAATTCAGTATCTGACCAAATGTAAGTAATGGTGTTGAATAATGGCCTAAAATGTGTTTTTGCGGAGCATATGATGTCAAAGTGAAGCTGACCTTTGACCTTTTGGGATATAAAATGTCAACACTCATCATTTTATCCTATTAGACGTTCATATGAATTTTTTGGGAAAATCTAATTAGTTCAACTTGGAATCCAAGTGAACGTTTGTGCCAAATTTGAGGACATTCTCTCAAGGCGTTCTTAAGATATTGCATTCACAACAATGAGAGGATTGTGAACTTGTGAACTTGAACTTTGAAAATGTAAATCTAATCAGTTCAACCTTGAGTCCAAGAGAATGTTTGTGCCAAATCTGAGGGAAATTCTCCCAAGGCTTGAAATATCGCATTCATGAGAACAGGATGGGACAGGACGAGTGAAAACACATGAAGATTCCTCATTTCCAGTCAAAATGTTCAAATCAAACAAATAGATTAAACAAATAAAGTCTTAAGCAGCTTATTTTATCAACCAATCAGGCTTTATCGTTTATATCACAGACAAATAAAAGGCCCGATTCAGACCCTGAAGAGCTCTGCAGACATTTTTGCTATATCATTGTGCAGACACACACTTACTGTCTGCTCCAGCAAGATGGACACTTGAGGTCATAAATCATGAATCATCTGCTTTCTTAGATCGCTTCGATGCCAACAGTGAAGTCCCTTTGAACACCCATTCTATCTTTGCACCTCTAAAGCTACAGCATGTGTAGAACTCCTTCACATTCGTTATGCAGTTGAAAACTATAAATCTTCTTTTAACAAACACCAAACATAACAAAGGATGGAATTTAATTTATAACAGTCAAGGAGATATGCATGAATATTAAGCAAAAACACTTAAAAAACACTTTCTTTGAAATGCCCGTTTAGGCAGAAAGTAAAACAAATGGAGCTGCAGTGGAGGTTATTTAAGACTGCCTATCTTGTATTAAGCCAGGGGCTAGGTGACTAACACAACTGTCCGTAGACACAGGGAGATGAGCCTCATAACAAGTAAACACAACAATAAACTGTGCTGTTAATCATCATGCTGCACACAGTTACATAAGTGAGAGCCTTGCATATTTTGTCACTTTTGGGGGCACAGGCTTATTGTAATTTCAACAGCGTGTACTGCGGAATTGACACTTTTATAATATGCAATAAAAGGTGACAAATATGATTCAACATGTGTTTTAACAATTGCCTTAAAATCAAACCTTGAAATCAAGCTGAAGAATTAATAGCACTTCAGTGTTTAATGCGTTTTTTAGAATGAGAGCTTTGCACTTTGCAATTTACGTCCTCTAAAGCTGCAACCTGCTGGGACAGGCAGGAGTTATGGGATGAATTTGATGAGAAGACATCAACTTGGAATCACTATAGCACTAGCTCACACATACATCCAGATAAGCTCTGTTCCCTGATTAACTTTGTGTCTATAATGTATATCAAACAAATCCTTCTGCATAAGGCTCCGTACTACCCTAAATCTGTTCTCTGCCGGTCTCTCCTTCCAATTTACTCCAAAATACTCCTACAGTACTGTAATGAACAGGTTGCAAATGTGAAACTTCACAGCATAACAGCACTATGAAGTTTTATGTGCTGAGAAATATAGGCGCTATTAAATTACACTCACAGTTTGGAGCAGCAGCGTTTGGAGCCTCATAAATTAACACTCCCCTCCTGAATTAATGCTGGATATTTTATTCATTTGGACTACTTTGTTGTTGATTGAGTTTATTATTTATTTTCCTGTTTATTGAATTTTAGTTTTGGCCTTGCAATACATTTCCACAGCCCCCTCTTCAAAAGCACACAGTTCTCGAAAGAGAAAACCACATCAAAATAATAATGACAATCAATGTGAGCAGTGGTCTGCGGGTAAGAAGATCATTTATGGTCTAATAGCAACAGCATAACATTCTGTTAGAGCTAAGTATTAAAGCTCAAACTGCACAGTGGGCAATAAGCTCAATTTCAGCTTTCATTTATTTAGCAATCAGGAGAAAATAGCTTTTCCGGTCTGTGTTCCGGAGGGAGGATCAATAAAATCCCATCTGCTCTGCGTCTGGACTGGATCACTTATAGTCCCATTCTGAGAGGCATGTTTACCTCAGCCAATCACAGATGAAATAAAACACTGTCAATCACCCCAGGGGAGGAACAAAGGCTCCACCTACCTGTAATACTCAACAAAGGCTGTTTGGTCAGCAATTGCTGCCAAGTCAACATTAGCTTTGCTGATATCCGGCAGAGTGGTCATCTCGCGGATGACGTTGTTGACCATCAACTGCATGAAGCGCAGAGCTTGCAGGTAGTCAGACCTTGCGGCAAAGATCTCATCCAGTCGTTCCAGATGCTGCTTGAGTCCAGTTTGAACATTGCCCAGAGATCCTCCAACCTAGGAGATAAAAAAAAAACAGAAGATAAGAGAAAGGAAGAAATAAAAGTAAACAGGAAATGGTAGAAACAGAATAAGAAAGGGAGGGGAGGTAAAGAGGAGTCAGAGAGAAAAGAGGGTCAGGAAGAAACAGGAACATAAATAAAATCATAATATTCATAAAAAAGGAAGATTGAAAATATAGAGAAAGGTGAAAGAACCAAAGGAGCACTCCCTCGAGAGAAGATTAACTTTTCTCCTCAACCGTGTGTTTTATTCAGGTAAACAATGTTAGAGTGGAATACTGATAACAATACCGGGGAGACCTGTTATCACAGGGGTCTTTGATAGTGAGAATAGAGTGGGAGGAGGCATGGCGGAGTAGAGTAAATACATTTTACTTTTCTGTTTGAACAAAAACAATGTGATGCAGTAAACGCCTGCACTTTCACAGCATCAATGGAACCAGAAACCGGTCAATTTTAGCCCGATGCTGACGGGGGGAAATTGTTTCTCTGCCGTAGCCGCATTTCACAGAGAGTCACAGCCACAATAGCTTGTCCCATTTATACAGATATTTTAAGAAAGGGCAATAAAGGTGCAATCCATTCTGTCAATGTAAACAAAATGGTAACCCTGCCATCCAAACTGAAAACATGTGCTTGAAACCTGCTGTCACTCCAAAATTGATTGATGTCTTTCAAAACATGGACGAACGCTAAACAATTGAATCTCAGATAGGATTTTTAGAGTGAGTTTAATATTTGTGAAAACATGTTTATGTAGTTTGCAGAATGACAATCACTTTCTCCTTTTTTTTTTAAAGGGACAGTGCAACATTTTGGGAAATACACTTACTTCTTTATATTAGAATACAGCCAGTAGCCTATTAGCTTAGCTTAGCACAAAGACTAGAAATGGGGAAACAGCTAGCTTGCCCAACTGTCACAAAATTAGCCTACCAGCAGTCCTTAAGCTCACAACTTGACACATTACATCTTGTATTTTTAATCTCTACAAAAAAATAAGCAGGTTAGTCTCCGATGGTTGCTTGGCTACTGCTCAGAGCCAAGACACAACCTAATGCAAAACGGCGACTTGTCATTTTTATGTTTCTGAAAAGATCAAACAAACAGGACATAATGTGTGAATGTGTAAGCTTTAGAGGTGCAAACGAAGGAGGCAGGTTTTATAACATTCTCACCGAACTAGACAAGGGTGTCACTTTGTGTTGAAAAGCGGTGTCAACATAAGGGCTCAAATAAAAAAGAACATTTTTTGAATGGCCTTCAGGATGTGCAAATTTTAGGCAATGTAATGGAAGGGTTAGTATGAGGTCAGAGTAGATAATTACAGTGGGCTGGGAAAAAGCGGCCATTCAAAAGGGCATGCCCCTCAGATACAACTAAGGCCATAGATTTCATTATAACATTGGAAGTGTCTGGGTGTCCTTCACAAGAAAATCTGATCATCAAACACTTTATTTCCTGCATGAACTTTTATGAACCAATTTATGGTAGAAATGTCTTTATTTATGTAAAGAAAAACACAAAATCCAGGTGCCAGATGACAATTCAAACTTTGAAACCACAGTGGAATATCACACAGTAAGACTCTTAGGCATTTTGTAATGCTTTCAGATATATCAGTCAGGACCACTTTAGTCAAAGAAAACTTTATTTCCATTTGCAGTATTACATTTGGTGGTATGACTTTGTTCTGGGGCCTTTCTGCCTTTTCCTAGGCCTATGCAGAAAGCCTAAGGTGGAGAGAGCACACCTCTCTGCCCTTCCATGTACAAACAAGGAAAACCTAAGGCAGAGAGAGCACACCTTTCTGCCCTTCCATGCGCCTACATGGAAAGCCTAAAGGCCAAAACACACCGGCGGCGTCATATGACGGCGGCATCATTGACGCGAGTCAAGTGCCGCCCCCAACACACACAAACCGGATTTCTATTGCACACTCCAGTCCGGGATGCTGGTAAGTACAAAATAGTGCTTTTTCAAGGGCTACGACACTGGAAAAATAGGACAATAGCGTAAAGTGCCGAGGTGTGGCACGTCGACGCGCATCGAGCCACCGCTGGTGTGGGTTTGTAAATAGAAAATAATGGGGACGGCTGTTTTGACGCGCGTCGTACAGCGCCGGTGTGTTTTGGCCTTAAGGCGTAAGGAGCGGCAGCAAAGACCCCCCAGGAACAGAACAGAGAAGCATCAATGACAAACAGAAATGACACTGATAAGTCAGATACAGCATGAAAAGGAGGAGCTGGGGTGGAGGTGGGCTGCAGTGCAGCTCGCAGAGGAAGCAGCAACAGTGGGCAGGCCAGAGCAGTTTAAATAGGCTGCCCTGAATGAGATTTGCCAATTGGTTTCATCAAAAGGAATCATGTCATCAATTAGCTGCTCCATCAGTTGATTGGCTGTTTGAGATCAGCTGATGTAGCTGGGAAACCTCGTTGAAATGTGCATGTCATGTCAGTGACACATTATTCATCTCAATTATAAACCCCAGGACTTTAGCACTTAAGTGTTATGATGTTCAAAGAGAGAAAATGGAAAACTTGGACAAGGGGGAACTGTGTCAAGGATTTGCTAAAGTTGGAATGACCTCTAACACACCTGATTCCTTGGCTGCATCCCAGGTTCGATTCTAACCTGCGGCCTTTGGCTGCATGTCATCCCCCTCTCTCTCCCACCTTGCCTGTCAGTCTTCAGCTGTATTATCATTAAAAGGCAAAACCGCCCCAAAAATAATCTTAAGAATTTGTTTAAGTCACTGATCAGGGCATGCATGTTTCAGTTACATTTTTGGACAATGCACATTTGTTTCTCCTGTATTTCAACCCATTGTTTATTCAGGGAAAATTGGCTGAGCATTAAGCTCTTTTACAGCAATGCCCTGAGTTCACTTTAAGTGGGCTAGAGGGATACAAGTATATAATAGCATTGTATTGTATGTTTTCTTATTATGCAAATAAACTTTTCTCAAAGCATTTTCATTTGATAGTTAACATTTTTTTTTTTTTACTGCAAGACCATTTTCAACAAATTATGCTTTTAAAAGGTTTAAAAACTGGCCTTTTCAAAAAGTGGTGGGAACATGTCTCCAGCATCCCCAGAGTAAATGACACCAGGCAACCCGTTTCCCATTGTTTCCAGTCAGTGTGCTAAACCAAGCTAATCACATGCTGGCTGTAGCCTTGTAATTAACAGACAGATGTGAGAATAGTGTTGATCTTCTCAATTTGCTTTTCAGCTAGAAAGCATAAAATGTTTATCTGTTCCTTGAAGGGTGGGGATTCTACAATAAAACAATTTCTAACCAGAAAAGTTTAGTTATCGGAAGAGCACATACACTGCTAGGGACCTCTGAAACCTACAAGTTTTTGTAAAAAGGACCTAAGTTTTAAGAGGACACACCACCCACACCACAATGAGTTTTGTAGAACAGTACATTTCACATTACACCAAGTAGGAGGCTCCACTAATTCTGAACAGATGTTGCTTCTGTACTCTAATCTGAAGCTCTCTGCGGCAGTCCCACTTTCTTTATCTATCATCTTTCCTCCATTATACCGGTGACTTCTTTAACACACTCAAGTATTCGGAGAAGACTGTTCATTCCCACGATACAAAAACTCACTGCAATGGAGATAAAAACATATCTCAGTCTTGTTGACACTGTCACATTTCAAACAGCCTGATTAAATTCTAAAGTGGATGCTTCTAATGGTTTCGTAAGCAAGAAAGAGTATCCATTGAGGAGATGAGGCAAAGATACAGGCCCATCCTCCACTCCAGAACTCCCAGGGGGGGATATGTGATTGCCAGTAAACTGTAAACTGCTCTCACTCCCCACCTCTATGTTCATCATCTCTCACAGCTCCTGCCACAACGCCCTGAATCTTATCTGCAAGCCAGAGTGCCTGAGTGTGAGAAATGGGATCCATCAGCTAGCTGCTCTGGGTGATCCACATTTCCCTAATCTGGACCGTCCCGTCTTCTCTTAAAATGGATTAAAGCTCACTTTTACTGAAAGCAGGTCACAAGGAGGCTTCTCCATATTGGACACGCCTGTTAAATGAAACTGACTGATTCAAGGCTCACAGCAGCAGCACTCCCTCCAAGTGCAAATTCACATGCGACTGAACTGTTCTGCCCCCGGTGATTTTATGTATCTGAAATTTACTGTATTAAGCGTGACAATAAAGTCAAGCAGGGTAATTCGCTAAGAAATAGGACACTGAGGAGAGACATTCAGAGAGAACTGATGTATGGTGTAGAAAGGAGTAATCATTTTGTTCCAAGAATCACAACACGGCTTTCACTTTCAAAGAGGAAGAGCTATATAAACCGTGCTTGTAAATTGGAAGCGCACATTCTGATATAGTGTGATTGCCATGTTTTCCCATCCGTTATTTGCGGGCAGCGCTGACGAGCTCTTAATATTGCGAGCTGAACGCTGGAAATAAAGCTCTAATAAAAGGATGTCTGTGAAAAATCAAAAGCCCCCTTCAATAGCAAGAGACACAATGGTCCTCCAGATCAAATCTTTCAGTCTGTGACACATGATGATCCCTTTCAACGTATGAGAGGACATATTTTATGATGAGAGGAGCCTCAGTGGTACCAAACAACTCCTAGTGTAAATCACTAACCTCACAGGAGCCTCGTGAATCAGAGACAATGGGTCGCTTTAGTGGCGATGCATTTTCTTTGACAAATCTGATATCATCCCGGTGTGTAAAATCCAACAAAGAAAAATGTATTGAAGGCGTTAAACTACTGAAGTGATTACTTTTGAACCAACTTAATAGAAATACACATGAAAGGCCAAGAACGGATTTGGTAAACCAATAAAGATCAGTGGAGAAATGACTCTCTCAATCACAAGACTAAAGCAGCTTTGGTTTTATGGGATGGACGGCCAGCCAGCTCATCAGCTCTGTAAGTGGAGTATGTTACATCCAGCTATGATCTTGCAAGTGAGAAAGCCTTCATTTCCCTTGGGGAGCGTATGTTTCTCATGCAGCCGGGGCATACATCATGGCACAGGATCAAATCAATACCAAGATACAGCAGCAGAGAAAGTCGGCAGCAAAGATGTGAATTCATCAGAGTTGGATTGCATGTACACTTCCTCCCAGAGCAAAGAAAATGCTGTGCTGCAAACTACAACCCTTTTCCAGGTTATTTGTTACACCAAGCTTCAACCAGTGCACAACAGAAACTGCTTTAAGGAGGCGTTGATTCACCTTTATGCTCATTTTGGAGGATGTAGTTTGCAAAGCTGCTCAGGATGATACCAATATTTCATCCAGTGAATTTATTTGAACACAGAGAGTAAACAGAGCTTCCAAAATGAGCATTAAGTTGAATTAACACGTAGATCACCTATTTAACTTTATTTAACTACACTAAAAATTTTATAGCGTCTTGAAACATGAGTCTAGCTCAGTGGTTATTAGGGAATCAGCATATGATTGAGGGTCTCACAGGAAAAGTGCGCACACTATGACTTTTTTATGACATACTATGAGTTTTTAATGACAGTTTTATGACATATTTTACTGTGACTTTTTATGAGATACTATACTATGGATTTATAATGAAAATTTTATGACATAATGTAGCCCAGGCCTACTGTGACATTTTTTTATGACATACCATTGACATTGACAGTGATATAGTCTATGTAACACTCCTACTACATTCTAGTTCTCCACCTTTTAATACATTAGAAAGTAATAAAAGAAGAACAGCACAGTGTTTGACATTGACTGTACACACAGCAGTCGAGCAACAGCTTCTGCCGGAATACGCTGCTGCATTACATCATAGTACTGAAAATACTGCCTATTTGTTGAGTTTATTCAGTAGACGATTTGTTTATTTTCAGCAGGAGGCATGGATCATTCCCCTTAACCCCCGGTCCATTTCATTCTTCAACCCATTTAAGAATAAACAGAAATTTACACATCTCAATTTTTGGTAATTTTAGGCTTTTGTTTGATCTTTGCTGTCATCACTATGCAAACTTTGAAGGCCTTTTTCTCTAAATAATGGCTCTGTGTCAGTCATTATGTAATGTGACATATTTTGCTTAATATTATTTGCGTAATAGTACAAACAATCTTTCTTACTATATAATGACGAAAACTGTGTGTGTGTGTGTCTGTTCCATGTTTTTCTCCTCACTGACTTGGTCAATCCATGTGAAATTTGGCACAGTGGTAGAGGATCATGGGAGGATGCGAATGAAGCAATATTACATCAATTGACCAAAGGGGGGCGCTATAGCAACCGATTGAAATTGCAAACTTTGAATGGGCATATCTCATGCCCCGTATGTCGTAGAGACATGAAACTTTGCACAGAGATGCCTCTCCTCATGAGGAACAAATTTGCCTCAAGAACCCATAACTTCCGGTTATATAGATTTTCTGCCATTTTGAATTTTTTGAAAAACACTTAAAATCGATCTCTTCCTAGGAAGTTTGACCGATCTGCATGAAACTCGGTGAACATAATCTAGGGACCAATATCTAAAGTTCCCTTTTGGCAAAAGTTGGAAAACTTACTAAAACTGAGCTTCTATAAGGCAATGAATATTGCGGAGGGCGTGGCTCATCACATAAAGGTGTATAACATCTCAAGGGTTTCACCGATCACCACGCAACTTTGTAGGCATATGACCACACATAATCTGAGGGGACCCCTCCATTATTGACCCCATCAAACACAATGGGGGCGCTAGAGAGCTAATTTCCTAACCGCCATATGGATTTTTACTAAACTTGGTAGATATGTAGAACAGGATGCCTCAAGGTGACTGGAGAAATGTAACTCTAATTGGCAACTGGGTGGCGCTATAACAACAGAAAAATGCTTAAAAATGGCTAAAATGCGACCGATCGCTGTGGCTCCCCCTGTGGCCCAATGTTTGAATATTTTTCTAATATTTGGTATGACTTAGTCATGGTATGGTATGCTGTACATAATCACGGAAACTGTTAGTGTGTCATTCTGTCAGTCAGTCATTCTGTCAGTCCCACGTTTTTCTACTCACTGACGTGGTCAATCTATGTGAAACTGCACATAGGCATTGAGGATTGGCATAGGTAGAAGGTGACAAAGCTACCAATGGGTATGGACTAGTACTGACATAATTGGAAAGCAAAGAATCTCCTCCTTCCAATGCCCTCTTTGTGCCGTTGTTTACATTTTTTTTATCGATATACTGAATATGTATTATTATAAACACAGCCTAGACTGTAGTGTTTACTGCAGGGTGTTAATAAACTGGGGTGCGTATGTGTATACGTGTATACTGCATCAGTATCCCTTTATCCATCATGACCCAAATTGTCGTGTCACACAAATCAATGTGTGAGCTACAAATGGATTAAATCTAAATTTAAGCATACACAATGACACACAAAGCTGTTTGTGTCCATACATTAATACAATATGTGCACATACAAGGCCTTTATGTGGCCATGCGATACTGTCATGGCCATGCAGACACACACACCCACACACACACACAGTCCAGATAGTAAGGCTGAGATAGATGGAAAGAGTAGAGGCTTAACATCCATTAATGCACTGCAGATGGAGTTAATCCTCTTCTTCCTCATTGAGATTATTGCTTCTTTCAGGGCCTTGTTCTGACTCCGTTGCTCTCCTTCCTCTTCCCTATCTCTCCCTCCCTCCCTATAAGCCTCCCAAATAACTTCCCTGAATGCAGGTCAGGAGTTGTATGGAAAGAATCCCCATTTACAAATCCTGAGGCAGCAGTCACCTCAATTCCTTCACTGTGACAAAAAGCGGATACAGACCCCCCGCAGCGAGGTGCTAGCTTTGACACAGATGCACATCCCATTAACAGGGGAGGGGTTCTGGTGTCTATTAGCGAATCACTGTTTTGAAGTAGAGCGAGCCATGAAAATATGGTGCTTTGTTTCATCACAGCCAATCAAAAATGTTGAAAAAAGGCACAACATACGCAGCAAGGGACAAGACATTGTTCACAGCAAGATGAATGTCCATGTTATTTACAACGTTGACATATTTCTTGCTTGGTCAACTCGCCGTAATTCAACCGAAAAATAATTAAATTGAGACTGATATGAATAAAAATCATTTCAATGGCCACATGTAATATTTATGACGCTGATAGGATTGCAGATTGAAGAGAGCTTGGCATGCGTCTCTCACCAGATTGTTGATGCCACCCAATGTGTGATTGGCATTGTAGAGCGAGTAGGTCAGCTGGTACACCCCATCATTGGTCTCGCTGTTTCCATAGAAACCCACTCCTACAGCAGAACTGTGGAAAAAAAGGACAGAGTCAGATTTAATGAATAAATAAATAACATAATTAATGCCCTGTTTGTTTCATCTTGGTACTTGTTGATGAGGTTATGAGAGGACAAGTATGATAAAGACATATTCTTCATAATTTGCCAAAGGGGGAGGCGTAGTGGCTTTAGGGGTAATATGTATCATACCAGTGAAGGCTATGTATTGTTTTTAATAATCTTCTTCTTACTCTTATTATTATTTATTCATGGACTGAAACAAGCTACTGGGAACTGAAAAATGTTAAACAAGTTCAGGGCTAAATGAAGACATGTTTGGTGAGACATACACTGAGTTGTCATTAAAAAAAAAGAAAAGATTCAGAGTCATTTTACTCCTACTTTTGTATTCTTCGGATGTCTTAATTAGATTTAATATTAATTTTGCAGCCTTAAAGCATCTTTTGACCTGCTTCCTCTTCTCATCTCTTCCTCCTAGCTGCCATATGTGTATATGCAGCCAATGATAAAGTACCAAAAACTACAGTTCCTCAAATGGCCACTTGAGGCTGGCTCCAGAAGCGAGTCAATCTCCATAGACTCCCATGTGAAAATGTTCAACTTTAAAGCAGAAATACAGCTGTTTACAGCCTGGCATAAAATCAGTTTGGGTTTCTATAGCTAATTCTAACATACATGACAACTGTATGGGGGGGGGGGGAGAACTTTTATATAACTCGCCCATTCAGATGTTATAAGGCTTAACGTAATGCATAATTAAGGGTGTGGCTGCCGTAAGTAACCAGTGGGTGAGTTGACAAGTCGCTACCATGGCAAAGACTTTGGTTAAGTAACCATGGTGTTAGCCCTGATTTACAGAGTACAGGCGTAGTTATAACTGATGCTATTTCAGTGTGTTTTCAGTAGCATGAAAGCTTTTGTACTTGTGCGTCACTTCTATGCAAAGCCTAAGCTTTTGCCTATGCACATGGCCTATGCCATTGTGAGCAATTATACTTGTGCGGTAGTGTGTCTGTGTCACGCTGCAGTTACACCTCCAATACACTAGTCAGTGGCTGGGTTTCTGTGAAGTGCTGTGAAGTTCAGTTGATTCAAAACATGCCCAAAACACACGTTAAACATGGCTTAATAGCATCATTTTAACACACAGATACACATATCGACTTCACTATAACTCGCAGCGTTCACAGACAAAGCGTTTTTCTTTTGCTGGACAATGTTTTTAGCACAAGCCAAAGGCATTTTACATGGTCTAAATTAGCATGCATGCTAACAGACTTTTCCTCTGCTCATATGAAACCTGGGACAACAGCAACATTTAACAAAGGTAACGTTACTAAATTCAGCTCCATTACAAGTCACAGGGTTCACGAGCAAAACAAGTGTCTTATAATAAACGCGTTTTCCAAACAAGTACAACATGCTAACATTATTAGCACAAGCCTATGGCATTTAACATTGTATAAATTAGCCTAGCGGCAAGCAGAGATTTCCTCCTCTCATATGAAGCCAGGATAAATCCCAAAGTATAAATCCCACATTAGCTGTACTACAAGACCCTCTGAGGTGTCTGATGTTTAGTTTTTCCAGTAAGTAAATTTTGTTGTAATGGTTTTAAGCCTGTTTCTCACTACCGAAATTTAGCATCAGCTTTAACATTAACACTGTTAATCAAAGTTGTAAATGCACCATGCTAACCAAGCTTGCAGCTAGCGTTAAGGTTAGCTCCACCCTTCTGGCTCCAAATATCCAAGATGGTGACAGCCAAAATGCCAAACTCAAGGTTTCAAAATGGGAGTTCACGAACCAATGGGCAATGTTATGGTGGCAATGTACACATTATTTAATACAGTCTATGCCCACATGGGCTGCATCTAAACCTGTGATGATAGAAAACATTTTATAGTAGTCATATTTCTTCCTTCCTCCACCCTTTGTTACTTCCATCTGTTTTACCCATTTCTTTCACACACAGATTCTGAGCTATCAAAACCTCTATTTCCAGCAGTATCTTTGATTTTCTTATCCCATTCATGGCTAAAACCACATCAGAAGTCTGTCTGACTTCTGAAAATGTATCTGAGTGGAGTTCAGGGGATCCTCACCTTCCTGCAGCCTGAGATTGTGCTGAGCCTCTGTAATAGGGAGGATTAGTGTCCCTAGAGCCAGTGCACCCCTGCTGCTAGCAGCCTACAGTGACATGAGCAATGATACAATTTCATCATACTTGATTGCAGTAAGGTCACTCTCCCTGAAGGTCAGAGGTTAGTAACACTTTCAACTGCGTTCTCCAAAGCTAGATGAGGGAGCTCATCAATCAAGCTTCAGATAGCAGGAAGTCAGAGCGGGATTGTTGATTCCGGCACAACACGTGTACAGACAAACAGAGAGAAAAAAGGAAAACTAAAATCCTTGTTTATTCTCACAGTGACTCATATGTTGAGGACTTTCAAACCATCTGTGCTGCAAAACCACAGAAAACATGCATAACAGCCAGGTAGACACATGGCTGGGTTAAAACCATCATCCTCTGCAGCGAGACAAAGACAACGAAGAAGGTTAGTTATGTGAAAAGAGAAGATGTGGAGTTTTATTTTAGAATTTAATACATCCTGTCAAGGTGTGTGCAATATGTCACTGTGAGGGCTTATTTGCACAGGTGTGTGTTTGTTTTGTGTCCATTTGCATCCTGTCACTGTAACCTTGTAAGCATAATGAAAACCACTGCCTGCGTCTCATCTATCAAACTAGATCCCTCTGGTTATGATTAGGAGCACCGGGGGCAGTCTTTATGCAATTATGCCTGAGAAAAGAAAAAAAAAGATACAATTACAGAAATCCTCACAACCACAAATGCATGGATGGGGTTTTTGAAAATGACTACATCCAGCTGGTTAGAGGAAACTAAACAATCTTGCTTTTCAAGACATTTTTGTTTCAGTTGATCTGCAGCGACCTGGACAATGAGCTCTTCATTAACCCCTGTGGCCAACCTAGTGACATGTCAGTGATAAGGAAGACCCGCTAATGAAACAGTAATGACACAGGACATCACGGGTTTAGCCTCCGGGGAAGCAATAGTATTGTTCTGGGTTTGAAAAAGGCTGCAGCAATACAATGAACTATAGGGCTAGAGCATATGTGCACTCCAAGATGCCTGTGTTCCTCCGAGGATGAATCACTTCACAGACTGCGTAATGGCTGGACAATTGCATCTTAGTATTCAAAACATGTTGTGAGCAGAACAAATGGCCACACTGGATGAACAAGTATTAACAGATAAATGCCTTGATTCGGTGGAAACCAGTGTATTGCTCCTATAATAAATCGTATCAGGGTTAACACAGAGTGACACCGGCAGGAAGGATTTTTAGAATATTAGATTTGTTTGCTGTCTTTAACCTTAATTTACCCCCATTCACTCTCCTGGGGTCAGAAATAATCATCCGGAGAGGTGCAGCGGCTCTTAAATCCTTTTTTCTATTTGGGTTCTGCAGTGCGTCTGAGCTGTAATTCTTCTTGAGTATCATGCTGAATGAAAAGCTGGGAAAAGTGGATGGGGTGATCATGATAAATAATTCTGTCTTTCTTAAATGACATGAAAGTATGCTTCTACTTATTCTAGCTAATAGCAATCCCATGATCCAGCACAATAAAAGAATAAAAAATATGTACAGTTGAGTGCTGTATTATATATGATAATTTCTGCTTTATATGCATGTCTTTGTGTTCTGTACAAGCCTTCTTTGTTCCAGTCTGGCATATATCAGAAATGAGTAATAAGCACATTTTCAATTAAGCTGCTACAGCTCAAGAATCCCATCAATAGCAACACTATTGAATCAAGGATGGATTACTGAGTGAGCCTACCGGGCACAGGCCCAGGGGCCCAAATTGACAGAGAGACTCCTGGCCTTCACTTGCAAATTGTCGCTCAAATTAACAAGGATCGACCGTGAAGAAACTCAAAATGATCACAAAGAGGAACAAAAAGACCACAAAGAGGCGCAAAGCAACTGCAAAGAGACAAAAAATGACTACAAAGACACACAAAACAACCACAAAATGACTACAAAGCAACATTAAGTAACCTCAAAGGGACACAAAATGACTGCAACGAAACACAAATCCACTAAAAAGATACAAAATCACCTCAAACAAACACAAAACAACCACAAAGAGAAACAAAATGCCTACAAAGAAACACAAATTACATCAAAGAGACACAAAATGACTTCAAAGAAACACAAAATGACATCAAAAAGAATTAAAACAACCAAAAAGAGAAACAAAATGACTGCAAAGAAACACAAAATAACCTCAAAGAGACAAAAAATTACCTCAAAAAGACGCAAATGACTACAAAACAACACAAAACAACCCAAAGAGACAGAAAAACAACTGGAAAGAAACACAAAACTACTAAAAAATATACAAAATTACATCAGAAAAACAAAACAACCACAAAGAGACACAAAATTACAACAAAGAGACACAAAATTACATCAAAGAGAAACAAAACAACTACAGAGACACAAAATGACAACAAAGAAACACAATGTTACTTCAAAGAGAAACAAATTACATCAAAGAGACACAAAACAGCCACAAAGAGACAAAAAAATGACCTCAGAGACACAAAACAGCCACAAAGAGACACAAAATGACCATAAAGAAATGCAAAATTACATCAAAGAGAAACAAAACAACCACAAAGAGACAAAAATGACTACAAACAAATACAAAATTACCTCAAAGAGACACAAAATTGCTTCGAAGAGACACAAAATGACTAACAAGAAATGCAAAATTACATTAAAGGGAAACAAAACAACCACAAAGAGACAAAAATGACTACAAACAAATACAAAATTACCTCAAAGAGACACAAAATGACTAACAAGAAATGCAAAATTACATCAAAGAGAAACAAAACAACCACAGAGACAAAAAATGACTACAAACAAATACAAAATTACCTCAAAGAGACACAAAATCACTTCGAAGAGACACAAAACAACAACAAAGAGACATAAAACGACTACAAACAGACACAAAATGACACAATTACCTCAAACAGACACAAAACAACCACAAAGAGACACAAAACCAAAAGGAGCATAACAACTACAAAGAGACTCAAAACCACCACAAAGTCTGTGTGTCATATTCATTTGTAGGAGAGGTGGTGGGGCTCTTTGCATATCTGTGCCCAGGGGTCCATTGTCTCATAATCCGCCCATGCATGGAATTAATACCAAACATTAAAAACATGTTCACAATCTCAAGCCAAAGACAAAATGCTGTTACCAGCAGGTAAACTTGTACATGTATATAGAGGGAGCAGGCAATACTTAAAAATCTAACCTGTTGAGATTTTCTTCTAATTTACTTTATGGCAAGATGATCTAAGTGGATGCTGAAAGCAATAGTTTCTTTTTTTAATTTGTTGAGCTGAATATATTAATGTCCTTTGGAACAAGCTTGAGCAGGGAGAGATGAGAGCTCTGAGTAAAGACTAGACATAAGAAGTTCTTTGCTAAATAGCATCATGCCCAGTCACTTAACAACACAACAGGCCTTGTGTGCTGGAGCAGTACTTTGGTATGGGCACAGAGCTAACAAAGTTAAAAACCAACACTGAGATAAATGTCACAAGTTTGAGCGGATCTGTGCGCAAATTTAATCAAGCCGTTTTTGGAGACTAATTAGTTCCCTTTAATTTTTGGCAGGATCATCTTTGTCAAAGTATATTAAATCATAAACAAAAATACAATTGTGGTTGGCAACATGGCTCTGGAAGTTGTTTTTTTTAAGGAGGCTTACTGCTTGCTCATGCTTGCATAAATTGGCAGTGCAACCAAGGCACTTAGAGGAAACAAACTGGGGCCATTTCAGATTTTGGTACATGGAATTAACAAGATAATATATTTTAAAAGCACAATGTTCAAAGCCCAAATCTAAGGCTGCAACATTATAGCTGGGAGAGCAAATGAATCAAGTTGAGCAATCAAAGTTTTGGCGGGTGTGGTCAGCTGAACGGTCAGCTGAGGGGTTTAGCAGTCGGATAACCTAGCTGTCAGCTGATCGGGGGCCCTGTTGATGATGGGGCCTGTCAGAGTTACACAAGCTTAGCCTGCCTTATTATGTGCTCTTTGGAAAGAGAGAGTTAAATCTTGGTTACAAGCAATGAGGCTGTACATTAGCACTCTTTTATAGCCTTAAATACTGTAAAACTTTGCATGCAATAAACAGCAGCTAGAGCCAAGTCATTGGACTCATAATTGTAATTAAGCATCATTTCCTTTGAAAGTCCCCTGCTCTGTTGAAGAGTTACCCTCGCTGTGTGTCTGTGAGTTTAGTGGCACAACAAGAAACACAATGACATTCGCACTCACCATATCACGAGCCCCGTGATGACAGCAGACCAGGTGAGACAGCAGGTTTCAGGTCTTTTGGTGTCTTCATCTATGTCCCTTCGGCAGCAACACAGGCAGACCAGACATAATGCCAGAACCAGCAGGCTCAGACCCAGACCCACCGCACCAACACATGCTAGAAATATCAGAGACTGGGGCAAAAGAGTGGAGAACAGATTTTTAAAAATGATATTAGTTAAAGTCAAGACTAAGATTATCCTAAAATATCTTTAAAGTCAACCACAGATTCACTCATTTGACGTTTCACCTCACTATAATTGTGTTTTTTTGGCGCTGTCTCTCTTGGATGCCTGGCATTTAGTTGCTACTTTTTTTACAAAGCCTTGAACTCACCTGAGCACTGTGGCCCATAAATATCCCAAACACAGAAACTAAGGAGAAAATAAGAAACTGCAGGTAGAGGTCAGTCTCTACCTGCCACGATTGGGGAGAGATTACTTCTGTTTGAGTCTATACATTGATTTTTAGGAAAGTCCTGCATAGTACATTTTTAAAGAGGCAGGCAACTGTTGTGAGGTCTGAAATGTCAGGCTGGATGAACCCGACACCTGAAAGGTTGACAGCTTGAGTGAAAACAACCCACCGCTATCTAACAACACTCACGCGTAAAGATATTTTCGAGGTTAGCGTGTAGCTACCTCATCCATTGATCACCATCATCACTAATGGCTGCTGCCTGCAGCAAAGGGGATAGAACCATAGAAGTTTGAGGTCTTGGGGGTGAAGACAGCCCACGGAGAATGTTGATTTTCTGCAGCTGCAGACTGTGGCTAAGAGGAAAACAGAAATGATCCAAGGGCTGTGGGAGGGGAGGATCATGTGACACAATGGCTTTCGTTCAGTCTTGTGATTTCTGAGTGTACAAAATATTCCAAGCCTGAAGGATGGAGAGAAATACTGTAGGGTAGGAAGGAAATACTGTATTGGAACACTCTGTAAATGGACACTCTGTACACAAAACATTTTTTTACTCAGACTATTTCATGATAAATCCTCACGGTCCTGCAAAGCTGTTACATTTATCACTAGATAGTGAGTAAATATATACAGAATTGGCAGCTTGCTCCAGGGAAGACAAAAATGGCATCGTGTATGTCTGCAGCAGATTATACTTGGGGGAATATTTTCTTGCTTTACACCAATCAGTTTATAATCCTGTTTGTTTTCACGTCATATGGCCGTTTAGTTATACTTTTCAGTGCCTTATTTCCCACTGCATTAGCTATCTAAAGGCTGGAGACACACTAATTGATATGTTTGTCTTTACAGCAGCATTATAAAGCAAATCCCCGACCGTTTAAAAAGTGTTTACACTGCTGCACAAACATTAGTATTGGCTGATACTTTCTGTTTGGTTTTTGAAACTACAAAATCCCATCTGGGGCCCCCCTGGCGTTGATCATCTCTAGGAACATTAAATTTAGTGGGCTCAAACTCAAAACATTGAGCTCTCGGTTTGTTTAGAGACCTTGACCTTGATTTTACTTGCAAATAATTAGCGCTCAAGTTTTAGTGCCCGCAAGTTCAAAAAGTCTGGGTCTGGCTGACTAAGCAGAGCTTTTCCTCGACTACAATGTCTGTGACTAATTATTCCATTTGGATGACACTGACACTGCGGCTGAATTTAAATGATATTCTTTTGCATATTCGGTGCGTAGTCATTCATTGTTCAAACCCTGTTTCAAGTTACGTCGAGCCGAGGCGTATTTTGCCCTTAGTTTCACTAATCAGGTAGGTTGGTAATTAATATATTCCAATTAGATGTGAGACCATCAGCGATTCAGGCGGAGGTAGACTGACATAAAACAGCGCTCAGGATAAAAACAAGCACACAGTGATAAACACTTTATCTCTGGGATGCTGATGCACATTGCTTTTCAAGCCAAGAGGCCTTAGAAAAATGCCAATTGTGCTTAACTGGAAAGTTTTTACTGCAAATAATAAAAAATAAAATACAGTAGACCTTACACCCTGTGATGTAACAACAATCGGGCCTTAAATGAAATAGGTCGATACGGAAACGGTGCCAGTGGAGATGCCCTGCCTTAACTGTCTGGCACCCAGGCCAAAACCTTAATCCAATGATTTGCTAATCATTGGTTTCTGAGGACACCATTGATGAGCCAAGAATCACAATGTGTAGTGTCTCAGGGTGGCTTCAACCCTGGTTAGATTTCCTGTCACTATAACTCAGTTCAGGCCCTTCATACGCACAATACTGCTAGTTCCACTCTCTCCTCTAATTTTCCACTCCATTGTTTTGTAATTAGACATGCAGGCACTTCAATTTCCAGCGGCTGCAATGCCATAACAAGGCGAAGGATGCATGCGAGGGAGGAAGAAAGAGAGACAGAAAACAACTACAAGGTCTGCGGTCATTGACAGGAAGGTCATTGATCTTTTATCTCCCCAAAAGGATGCTTGTATGAAGTAGGCTTCAGTATGTATGCATGTCAAATTTAATTCAACAGTAAACAAGGCGCCTTAGGAAAACGTGTCTGTGGCTGCTCTGCTTTCCTCAAAAGACAACAGACGAGCATGCCAAATGAGGAACATGAGTTATTTTCAGGCTTGAGGGGCTGTGTGAGCCCCATAGACTGCCAACAGCCTCTGTGTCACCACCATGGCACTCTTCACTCCTCGCTGACTGGAGCTCAGCTGAGCCAGTGTGACACTGCTGGGATTCAATGACCCACATGGACCTCGGTACACGACGAGAGAAGTACAGTGAATTACACAAGTCAGAGCTGGGAGGTTCTCTGTAATGGCGTCTATATTCATAAATGACCTGGGGCAAAAAGGTGCCACATGGATGTGCACTTACACACAGACACACACTTGTAAATTCATTCACATTTCTTGGGAATACGCTGGGTTGTTGATGTGTTTTTGAAATAATGGGTGTTGTAAGGCCTTCCAAGCTGAAAATGAGATCAGTATGCAGTGTTATCCATGTACAGTAAACCAATACGTCCACATTCTCTTAAATTAGATTTGGAAACAGTATTATCAGTCACGCAACAAATTAACACAAGGCTTTTATTTTGTCGGAATAAATCAAATAATGCAGTGCTGATTGTTTAGCTCAAATGAACTTCATTAGTGATTGTTAATTAAATTCATGCCTGTCAAACAACACTGTTGTGACATCATGTGACTTATTTGCATTGTGATGCACTGCGAGAGAGTAAATCCAAGTTATTTGCAGACAAATAACAAATCAAGTCTAGACTGTCGATGGAGTCGGACAGACAAAGAGAGAAGAGATTGAAGTCCATAACGGTAATGATGAAGTGATGGAGTGCAGATGGAAAACTACGGCAACAACTGAGCATGAGCATCCCATATTTGTTTTTTCCATCACACAGCCTATTTGGTCCATAATGACTCTGGTCCTGCTGCCCACAGTCAGTCGCCATCACTAAACATGACAGTTTGGGACATTTACATGGCCTCAAATGGCCATAAATGTACTGTGGGGAAATTGAAATACTTAATTTGAGAAATAATCTTTTTACACTGGGAAAATATATATCCATACAATCCCATTTCTCTCACAATAAAATTATGTTTTTGGGGAAAAGAGGAGAACACAACCATCTCTTACAGTGGGTGTGTATATTGTGTGAGAATGGGCAGTCATTCACTTCATTTTTTTACTTAGCTATTGATACTAACAAGACTGCCTGCAAATTACAGTTTGGGATTTGTTGTCTGTCTAAGCAGTGTGTGCAAACTCACAGGGATATAGACATACTTTAGCCTACATAGTTACAGTACATCTTGTTTACTACCTGAAATAGTTCATAGCCCAGCTAATACAGGTCATGTGTCATCATGTGAGAGCTGCAGTACAGTATGGGCTCTCACTGAGTTTGGACCCAACACTTTCCAGCACGTCAGGGAGCGTGACTGATGCATCACAGTGACAAATGGAAGAAAAATAGCCTTCATCACTCAACACAGCAGTTTGCCTAAAACAACTTTTTGTTTAAATGCACATTTAAATCTGTTGTTTTGTCCAACACAGCTCTGATTTTCTTTTCTCTGTTGAGATTCTTTTGAAACTACGTGCGCTTTTACGCACACGTACAGTTACCAACCTGCTGATAGCTCGCCTCGTCCGGTTTGAAAGTGTTGTCGACTGACTGGAAAAAGAAATTGAGGTGAGGGAAATTGTGCAGCCAGTATGTCCACCACGGAGCGACGTATTCGAGTCTTGCTGTGGCCATTCCTGCTTGAAAAGTCAGTCCGGCGAACCACGCGTCCTTCTCTGACATTAACACCCGGATATTCCCAAAAATAAATAAATAAACGCCACTTCAGTGGAGGTTACAGTCACCACAGAGCACTAAAGAGGAAGTTCTTCTTTTGCTATTACATCTCCAGAGCAGGGCACAACATCAATACTTCCCACATCGGCTCCCATAGTTCTGTGTGAACTGTTAGAGTTGCGCCACTACTAAAAAATACAGCCTCAATTCAGGCCGAGCGTTTGTATCCGAGACACGGGATCGAGTGACGATGTAAACCTGCCTCCTTAAACAGAGAAGGCGTGACAAGCACTTCTCAGTTAAGTGGGCCAGGCCATGGTGAACACTGTGCTTTAAATTATGAAAAGTAAACATTAATACGCGCACCTTCTGCACAATATTGGAGGCGAATCTCTCAAGTTGATTGCAAGCATAAAGAAAAAATATCAAACACCGAGGACACCTGCAGGTCTCAGCTCCGGATGGATGTCAGTGGCCTGCGCCCACTCCTCCACATTATCTGTCTGTTTTTAACGAGGCAGCTCAAAGTGTTGATTACACAATAAAACTGAGCAGCATAAAAACATGCAAAAGCTCTACACTCTGGCCTCCACTTGCAGCCGCTGTGTTTGGCATAAAGAGGCACGGGTATTTAGTGCACTATTTATGACTTGTGCTGTTAATGTCTGACCTCTTGTGGACAATGAGGCGCACTGAGGTGAACAGTAATGAGCATGGTAATGAGAGGCTGCAGCCTGCGGTGCAGCATATTGGCTTTTTTGTGCTTTTATTTACAGAGAGAGGCTTTTTTCATTCAGCAGAAGTTGTACAGTATTCACACCTGCATCAGAATCACCACAATAACTGTAGTAAATGTGCAGGAATTAATTTTACTATCTTGAACAGAGAGACAAGGACATGTTCTACTTGGATAGCCACATGGTGAGTCACAGAGGCACATGGGAGAAGTTGTCCTTGTAGGTTTTCTCTTAGAAAGACCTTTCTGACAGAAATATATTAATTTAAACCCCAAACCACGACTTTTCCCCCTAATCTTAACCAAGAGATCCCTTTCTAGTAGAAAGCCCTTTTGGAAAATGTCTCCCAATTGAGTCACAGAATAACTCAGGAAATGACTAAAGGGCATGAATAAATGATTTTATTACTATGGCCATTCAGGCAGTGAGACATACAGATGGTTATAGCTGTGGAGATCCTAACACTGCAGCATGAGAGAGCTGCACTGGGTATGCTGTAATACATGGGAAATGCATAGGAGTTAGGTTATATGGACCTTAACTGGCAATGGATACCAGTGTTTTTTCAATTCAGAAAACAAACAAAATAATAATCAGGAATTTTCCTTTCACTTAAGTACTTTTTATCACAAATGTTGTACTTTGCTACAATTTAGGTCGAACAAAAACAAAAGTCGCATAAAAAAAGTGCTGATAAATTGTGAGAATGGAACAAAAGAAAGTCAATGAATCAGCAGCTACAGCAGGAATACTCAATTTGCTTTGCCCGGGGGCCTCTTTGGCAAAATGACCGGAGGCCAGGGGCCAGTCGCAGCAGCCAGCATATGAATGCAGGGTTGTTTCTAGGATTTGAGGACGTTTAGGTCTTAGCCACCATCAGGGGTCCCTGGGGATTTATGCACTCTGGCACCTTGTGTATATAAAAGTACAAAAAAATGATATACAGATATCACAATTTTAATATGAGTTGCAATTGTAGTTCCTTCATACATTTTCCATAAGCGTTTATCCTGTTAGCTGGAGCCTATCCCAGCTGACATTGGGCGAGAGGCAGGATACACCCTGGACAGGTCGCCAGACTATCACAGGGCTGACACATAGAGACAGACAACCATTCACACTCACATTCACACCTACGAGCAATTTAGAGTCACCAATTAACCTGCATGACTTTGGACTGCGGGAGGAAGCTGGAGTACCTGCAGAAAACCCACGCTGACACGGGGAGAAAAAGGGGTTCCCCCACCCAAGGGTTCAAACCAGGAACCCTCTTGCTGTGAAGTGACAATGCTAACCACTGTACCACTATGCCGTTTATATTGACAATTTGGTCATTTTTGCATTGCATTTTCACTGAAAAAAAAAATGCTAATGATGTGATTTTAGCTGAAGTCTGTACCAAACAAGCCTGTCCCCTCACCTATAATTTGTAGACCGGGGCATCTCTGTAGCACCACAATGCTTTGTTGTGGCACATTTTACGTTTATGAAAAAAAATAAAAAGTGCAGCTCCTGTGATTTGGATGTTGCATTTGGCTTTATTGTGATTTGGATTGTGCAGGCCTAATTGGAAGGCCGCCTGGAACCCTGTTGGGATCCCGCTGTTGATTCCATTAGAAGTGTAAAAATATTCAGTTAGTGTGTCTTTATATTGCTCTTTGCACCTAAGTTCATAGACTTTTTATTCATTGTCAGTCATGTTGGTCCGAGTTTTGTCTCATTGCTAATTAGTTAGACAAATCTGATTGATAATCACGTGTATGTACAGGCTGCAAAGTGCCATCTATGGAATTTACTGTTGGTTTGGACATAAAGAGTCATGCTGCTGATTTTGTTCCACTCGTGTGTACCCCCCATCCCCCGCTCCAAAACACCCTTTCCCTTCCTAAAATATTGGTACTCCTTCCATCTCTACAAATACAGTACAATGTTTGTCAAACAAAAGTCAAATTCATAAAGCATGTTTGACATTTGAAAGTAATGCATGACTGTCCTGTAATGTACTCTGTCCTGTTTTAGTCCAATTCAGAGAAGTTTTAATGTCAGTATTTTATATAAAAAGAGACAGTGAGTTTTGTAATAATTTTCTTTTTTTATGACTTTTATTTAAAGAAATTTGCAGAAGACATTAATTGTATTTTAACACTATTTTTGCCAACTTCCTGTAAATATTTAATTCATTTTAATTTAATTTAATTTAATTTAATTTAATTCCATTTTATTTTATTTTATTTTATTTTATTTTAAGACTGTTCCTTCTATTGCTTGGGGATGAGTAGTCACATTTGCGACCAGGACTGTAGGCAGCTTCTGTGTGATGACATTACCTCTGGCTTTGACTCATGCTGCATTTCCTGTAGGTCTCTTTATTTTTCTGTTTATTTATTTAAAAGAAAAGGTTCAATACATCTAGAGTTGCCTACAGCATATCTGCATTAGATATACTATGTATATGGTACTTGTCTTTTGTTTAACCACATTGAGATTCTAAATCTTATTTACAAAGGAGACCCACGGCAAATACAGCAGAATCAATGTATAGTTACAGACAGAACGGACCGCTACAGTACCATCACTCAGTAATGTAGATAGCAAGCCTTGGATAATCAACCAAATAAAACGAAATAAAAGTCCATTGGCAGAAAAATCTCCATTGGCAGATAAAAGGGAAGACGAAAATATGTCATTTACATTTTGCCCCGAGGTAGAGTTGTTTTATCTACACGGAGTACAGAGCACTTTCCTTGCAAGCTTAACCATCTTGATGTCATATGGCTACTGCTGTAATTATTTGGATGCTTTGATGCACCTCCACAGCCAGAGTGCCAAGAGAGTGTGCTCTGAGTCTGAACACCCTGAGTAGGTGACACTTGAAATACACTGTATGAATATGAATTCTTGACTGTGCTCTGCATTTACAAACAGCCGGATTTGGTGCCAGGAAACTCTCCGGTGATTGCGGTGCCAATCACTTTCAGTGTTTAAACCGAGGGACCAATGTGGAGAAAGGGAATGACGTGAATAAAAGCACTTCTGTCTGTGTCTCTTTAATACAGGCCACATGTATCAAGCCTCCCTGCCTGCTGTTCATTTATTCGTGTTGTCTCAAGGCAGACAAAACATGTCAGACCCACAAATCACACTGATGCCAGTGTGAACTTTAAGGATGTATGCAATTCAGCCACAAAGACCACTGTACTTTTGTTTCTTAATACTTGTTTGCAGTCAGGTCTGTTCATGTTTTGAGTCTGATTAAACCCAACTGTGTGAGTGCACCTTTGTAAATCAGTGTGCAACATATTTCAGCAGCTCTGCTGGGGCTCGGTTCCTGTAGAGGATTTACTATAAATGTACGCAGTTGCGGTAACTTAAAGTGCTTCGGATAAAAGCCACCACCTCTTGGGAAATGGTTCAAATGTTCATGCAACACTTCCCTACAGTACGCAGAAAGTGACGCTGAGCCATTAGGTGGCAGCCCAGCTCTTTTCAGTAATGCTGAACCTGGAGCTTCTACTGTACACTGTCCAAGTGGTGTCCTCTGGTTGTGTATCTGTGACGAACTCAATCTCAACCCGTCATTGTGCAGAGCTCCTTTATGCATAATACCGTCCATAAAGTGAGATCTTATCTTAATGAACTCTGGCTGATAGATCAGACCCACTGCTCCCTTGGAACAGTCTCTGGGGGCAGCAGTATGGGCATTGATGTTACAGGAAATACATATCAAAGAGGACTTTGAAGTCAAGTAACTTAGACCGCACCTCAAAGTGGGCAGTGAAGGAATAAAGTCATATACTGAGCGACAAGTCTCAAGGTCAGTATTGCTCCAACAGCTCTATTGGAATGTTTTACAGAACGTGGGGAAAAAAAACCTGCTGAATTTTAAATCTTGGGCCAAATATTCCTTTAGGAGCAGGTGATACTCCGACCTTGATTTCTATGGGCAGCCACATTTCACCCTGAGCTGACTGGAACTGCCTTGAGAATAATGTCACAGCCCTGACTTGAATTACAGAGAAGTGCTATTGGACTTTCCGATAAACCTGCTTTTTTCATAAGAAATGTATGAGATGCCTTGACACACCCAGACACAACTTGGCCGTGTGCATTGGTTTGCAGGCGCTGTTTTCATGGGAAAAGAAAAAAAAAAAAAGGAGGCAGGAAAAAACACTCTTCACACTCCTTGTAGTCATACAGTTGTTGCTTCTTCCTCATCATGTGCTCAAGTGTCCTCAACAAGCGCTGGATTTACCTCCTGATTGACTGTCTCCATAACAATCACAGGGATGATTGGTTCATTTAAAACTGTTTTGAAGTGCCTCATGTCCTCTTCCTATATGTACTACTGGGCTCCTTCCAAGCCATAACAGTTACTGCTCAGTGGAATGTAAAAATGTGTTGTATTGGACTTTTCCTCCTTCATGGTTATTGCTTTTTTTGGATTTGTGACTCAAATCCTCTTGCTCTATTTTGAGTGATTTATACATAGGAATGA